CTCACACTGATCTCCAAGGCATTCCAAGTAAGGCCTCCACAGCAGAGATGTATGAGCATTTCATGAGGCTGCTAGGCTGGTTTACAGCAGAGGCCTGAACAACCACCTAACCTTTTAGTCCATGGAAGCAGCCTCATCCAGCAGGTATGACCACAGCTCCAGCCTGCTCATGCTTTCCCTTCACTGCCCTTTTTGTTCTTCAACACACTACCACAAAGTCTACACTTCCCTTTTCATAGAAATTAAACAGATCACACCTGAAAACACACAGAAGGCCTTCCTTGGAAAGCTGAAAAGCAAGGCTGCAGCTTGGTGGGTAAACATCCCTGGATAGGGAAATGACAGCAGCTCCAAAAGAATAAGCACATTTAACATGCACATGATTAAAAGCAGGCCGTGTTTCTCTGCTTGAAAGACAGTACAAAATGAGGACAGCAGCATCCCACCTCTGCTGTTCACTGCCTTGCCACCATCTGCTGTTCAGCACATCCCACATCCCATTGATTATTCTGTTAATGCTGAACTGCCCAGCTCTTACTGTACAGTAAAAACCATTCAAGAAACAAGACTTCCCAGGCATCCATGAGAGGCAGCCTTTGTGCAAGGCAACATTCCAGCACAAGGCACCTCTCTTCCTAAGCAGCTGCAGGGCAAAATCCAAAAAACACAACAGGCAGAAAAGAGCATTTTCCCCTTCTGCAGAAAGTTTCAGGGCATTTCAGGTAGACATTGGAAAGGTTCAAAGATCAGACCTATGGGTACACACCAAAACAGCAGCCTCTGTCACACCAGCAGCCTCCCACACTAGGTGACAGCTGAGGGACAGCTGAGCCTGTGACTCACTTATTAACCACTGAATCAGTTCAACTGGTCTGGATTTCCGTTGAGAGAGTCCAGGAAACCTCACCTCCACCATTACTGACAGCAAACAGTACCAGGAACTCCAACATGTAACACTGCACTGATCACACACAGAGACTACTGTCTCCAAGCAGCCATAGCAACCAAAAACTGTCCCAGCTCCTGTGCTGCCCCACCAAACATGCAATAGCAAATGACTCCAGCAATACCCCAAAGCCAGCATTTCTTCAGCTGAAAACTCAAAAAACCCCCCATCTATTTAATTATTTCCTTTCAACTGCAGCCTGAGTCACATAAAATGTGCACAGAACCCCAGCACACAATTTTTAAAGTATCAATTGGAGCCCCAAAAGCACTGAAAAGCCTCAAGTTCCTGTCCTTCTCAACTGGATCAGTACAGCCCCACCTCCCCTCTCAAAGTTCAAATCTGCCCTCAGAGCAGATAAGTGGATGAAAGTAGGCTCCTTAACCTAGTTTCTTTAAGGGCTTTTCCTCCACATCCATGACAGCTACTCCTATAACCTTCCCTTTCACTGTTTGCACCAGGTCAGACATCAATTTTAACTAGCCAGTCCACAGAAAAGCAGTAACAGGGACTTGCCTAGACAGCAGCCTCAGACCTTCCTCCTAGCTGGCATAACTGGCCAGGCAAGAAAGGCCTCCATCAGCAGAGTTTCACATCCTAGATCCATAACTGGGGCAGGAGGCCTTGCAGACACTGAACTGCAGCTTTCCTAATTCTCCTCAGCACTGCCATCAAAGGACATGCTCCTCCTTCCAGTGGATGCACAGCTAGGTATTCACAGGCTCACAACTGGCTCATACAAACTGACCAGCCTGATGTTCAAATCCACACTGAATGACTATCCCCATACATATGCCTACCTAAATACCAAGTATGTGCAGTATTTGAGGCTTAAATCCAAGGACTGCAAACAGGTTCCACAGTACATGTGGGCACTGTCAGGTACAGCAGTGATTGCAAGGATGGATGACAAAGACATTCCAAGCACTGGATTGTGTAAGTATTAAATTCCAGTCCACACATCGCACTCAGACTCATGACATCTGCCCCAGCCTCAGAGCCCTGCTCTCCCATTTGCCTGAACCCAATGTTTTTTAACACACATGAGCAAAACCACACTCCTGGTGACTTGACTCTTTTTCTCTTAATTCTTTTGCCCAACAACAGCTTGATCTGGGTTATTCCAAACAGTGTATTTAGTTAACAGGATCTGTTTGGACTCACCTCTCCAGAGTAGTGCAAACATAGCCCTGAGAAGCATTAAGACACACTTTGGTAGTACCTTCACTTTCTGTCCTTCATCCTGGTTCCTGGAATTCTGTTCTTTTTACCTCCAAACAATCTCTGAGGACATGGACCAGCATAAAAAGCCAAGGTGGCAGAGGAGTTGTCAGAAACCCAGCTCCCTCCCAGCTCTGTCAGTACAGGGCAGCAGGTGTGCATATGCTGCGTCAGCAGCACAGCAGGGTCAGGCCAGCAGCGCAGAGCAGCTGCAGGATGCTTACCGGTCTGTCTGGAGAACGTGGATCAGGTGTTCCATGGCCTGGATGCCCACCTCCAGCCGGTATTTCTGTTTGGAAAACAGACAAACGCTTAATGGTCGAGCCCAAACACCGAACAAAGCCTTTTTAACAGCACCTGACAAAGCTACTTCAAATTCACGCTGCTGCTCAGGAAGTTGGCCACGTACCTTGGATAAAGACTTGAGAGCACGTACTGCATCCCTCCGGTCATCCAGCAACGTGGACGAAGCGACTCGGTCACAGAGCTTCTGGATCTGGAAGGACAGGCATAAAACACACACGGGATAAGCCGGGGGGGTGCAGGGGAGTCCTCCGGCACCCGCCTGCGGCCCGGGCCGCACGGCAGAGCGGCTCCGGCCCCGAGCGGCACCGGGCACCACCCGGGCCTGTCAGCGGCAGCACCGCAGCCGCCGGCCACAGGGCGGCCCCGGCCGGGGCTGTCGCGGCTGCCCGGCCCTGCCCCAGCCCGGCCGCGTCCCCCGCTCACCGTGTCGGCTCCCGAGGGCTGAGGGCCGGCGCTGGGGCCGCCCATGACGCCCCGCAAGAAGTTCATGGCGGCTCAGGCGGCCGGCGCTGCCGCTCCCCCCGCCGAAGGAAGCGGCCGCCGCGCCTGCGCTGCCACGTGGCGCGGCCGGGCCGGGGCGGGGCCCGTCTCGGGGGCACGGGAGCCCGGCCCGCCGCGTTCTGCGCGACCGGGATCGGGCCCACGGCGCCGCTCGCCTTCCTCCTCAGGCCCGAACAGCCCCGAACCGCGGGGCAGCGCGCAGCGAACAGTACATCCGCACGGGCTGGGGGCGTTAAGCAGACCGAGAATAAAAAAAGCACACAACTTTAACACAGCTCCCCCCGCGTCTGTGCATTCACAGACCCCGATCTGTGCATCCACAACAACCCCTAAGCAAACGCTCCGGCTTGGAACTCCGAAATTGCTTTCACTTCTAATGAAGAAACAGCAAGGGGATAGCTACCTTTAACTATAAGAAGAGAAGGTCCAAGCACTACTGAAACTGAGTCACCTCAGTGAGAATCAGAAGCTTACCTAAATAAGACTGATGTTTCAAGTCCAAGAGCACCACGAAGTTCTTAAATTGCTTCCAGATGCTGAATGCTCCCATTGGATGCTACTGCAACATATTTCGCATTCCTGCTGAGGAGCAACAGCCAAGGACCAGAACCTCAAACCCTTCAGGCACTGCACCCACATACCAGCTGCCAGTCTGATGGTGCCCTCCTCATAGTTTCTGGTAGGGTTTGGCAGTGCTTGGCTTATTCTACATATCCAGCCAAAGCAATTTTACTTGCAGCCACAGCACATGGGCACAGAAAGTGCCAATACCATCAGTTAATTTCAGTCCCGGGAGACAAGCCCTCTCACATGACAGTTTAAATCAAGAGCTTTGAGGATTTCATTTTCCTTATCAACTACAGAATGAAATTAACCACCCAGCACGTGGTCCAGAGAGTTTTTAATTTGTTGGGCAACAAAAAGCCCTTCAGTCGGGTTTGGTCACCAAATAACGAGGCACCCATAGCAATCATAGCCATGTCAGCAGTTTCCTGATGCAAAGAGGGGAAACTCCAGCCTGCAGTCACCACACAGCCCCAGCTTCACTGAGCACAGTCACGCATGCCCGAGCTGTGCGTCCCCGACTGCTTGCCTGCCCAGCAGCACACCAGTGCTACAAAACCTACCTGGAGCTCACTCACAACAGCCCTTGTAAAGGCCCAGATGCTCCTACACCTCATTGCCCACCAGCTGCAAAACAAGGCAGAGAAAACAAAAAAAGTCTTCCTCCTAAACTGAAGGTGTTGAGATATTCAGAGGTTAGGAAAGGTTCCTCCTCCCCTTCCCCACAGTGAGGATTCCAGGCCTGTTCTGGGCAGACATACAGCAGAACTCACCTGACATGTTCAAGTTGCCATAGCAAGATTCTGGTCCTTGGCAAGAAAACAGGAAACAACCAACACCAGGTTCTTCCACAAGCCACAATTTATTTCAGTATTTGCATCCTCACACAAACAACCCCAAGAAACAAAGTGAGCTGCTTCCAAAAGCGATGTCTGACACACTTAGACTGTCCTCTTGGAGATGCAATACACTCCAAGGGGCAAATTCTGCCAACCAGTAACGGAATTATCTGGTATTCAACCTGCAAGCACGGATAGTTCTTTATTCAGCACAACTCAGAAGCGTTTCTATTTCCATGAGAAGCTGTGAAGTTCTAACTGAAGGACGCTCGAGAAGAAGGCGAACAGGCACAGCAGGAGCAAAGAGCAGAGCCAGCCCTGCCCGCGGCCCCGCTCCCACCGCCGGAGCTCGCGCACCTCAGAACCGCGCCTGCGTCCCGGCCATGCTAAATACGCGCGAGCCCCTGACGTCACCGCGCCTGCCCGCCGCTGATTGGTGGAGAGCGCCGGAGGACGCCCCGCCCTTCCCGTGGCTACCCTGCCCGTCCCCCGGATCTGCGCAGGCGCGCGCGCGCACGCAGGCACGCACGGGAGCCGCGGTCGCTCGCCCTCCCCCGCCCGCCCGCCCGGCTGTGACACCGCCGCCGCGCCCCGCTCGCCCTGTGCTGCCCGCGCCGCGGGACGAGCCGCCCGAGGGACACGCTCGCCGCGCCCGGCTCCGCGCTGCTCCCGGCGGCGTGGGCGAAAACGCGCCCCGGCCCCGCGCCCCGAGACTTTTGTCCCTTAGGTGAGCGGCGTGGGGGGCGGGGGGCAGGGTAGGCCCCGGCGCGGGCTGTGTTTGTGTGCGGGGCGGGGGCGGCCGTTCAGCGGCCCTGAGCGAGCGGCGCGTGAGGGGCTGAGGGCAGCGGCGGGAGCGGCGCGCGCCGGGCTGAGGGCAGCGGCGGGAACGGCGCTGAGGCGGGCAGCGCCCTGGGGCCCGGCTTTGCCCTTCGCTGCCCGCCCCGGCCGCGGGCTCCCGGCTCGGCTCGGAGTGGGGGGGAGGCGGCTTTTGTTCGCCGTCACCTTGGCGGCTCTTCCGCCTCGCCCCGGGCGGCGCGGGGAGGCCGGGGAAAAGCGCCCCCAAGCCCCGCGTTACGCGATGCTGGCTGTGATCTTGGGCCCTGCGGGCGCCGCTTCCTGTCTCATTTCATGGATCGATCCCTGTGCAGGGGCCTCCAGAGGTACGCGGGATTTGGCATAGGCAGGGTGCTGCTGCGCCGGCCTCGGTCGTGCTGCTGAAGCTCCCTTAGCTCCCCACCCTCGGTTCAGCGGGCCCCTCAGTTCTACAAGTTAGCACAGCCGTGGCAACCTGGCTGTGAGGGCTGCCCCAGCTCTGCAGACCTCACCTTTCTGCACTTCCCCTTCCCTCAGTCGTAACCCGGGCTGCTCTGTTTGCACATGGAGTGATATTGCAGAAGTTGTTGTGAGCTCCTTTTATTCGGCAGAGCTGGATACCTTGAGTAGATCTTTTCTGAGCTGCTCTCGTTTGTCACTTGAGTTGAGCTCATTGGGTTCTCAGGCTTCTGCCACCTTTCACCTCGGAGATCACCGCAGTTGCAGTGTGGGTGCCCAGCAGCATCTCCACAACAAATCTTTTAAATCCCTTGGGTAGCTGGGTGAGCCTGGATCTTCATCTTGGTTTCAGCTACCTCTGCATAAAAGGACTATCACAGGTGGGAAGGAGAGCATATGACATTATTGTTAGTTTCAACCAGACAGTCTTAGTCAGTTGTATGGATGTTGTTATTGTGGCCTTCCGTGCTGGTTTGGCAGCTCCGAAGCCTTTCTGTGTGTTCTTCAGCTGAGTGTGCAAATGATCTGCTTTCCTTCCTGCAGAAAGAAGTGTAAAGATGCCCAAGGTACTTGGGAAGAGTTGAGAAGTGGTGGAAGTTATATCAATCTATACCCAAGTTCTGAATGTAACATGGCTCTGTTACTGTAGCACTGCAAGCCAGCGTAGGATTTGTCAGCTTGGATTGGGAGCTGAGAAGTGGTTGCTGACAAACTGGTGTTGCTTTACTTCTGGCCTTGCCTTCTCGTGCGGGTGGCATTTCTGCATCCATTGTGGGTGTGGGTACAGGGCTATGCCTCCCCTAGAAAGCTTGTCATTCTGAAGGATTCCTCCTTCTTGTGAACCCTGCTTGCCTGGATGTCAGAAACATCATCTTGGTTTGCCTTTGGAAGTGTTCTTAAATCGTCTGCTTGGCAGATGTGGGGTTGCTGTGTGAGATTATGATCTGTATTTGTTGATTTTTTCATAAATCTTTTCTCTGAAAACTGGCTTTAACTGAAGAGAAAACCAAATGTCCATCAACCATGTAACTGCTGATGTCAATATGAGTGTTTCTGAATGTAAAGGAATATGGAACTGAGGATGCAAATTCAGCATCTATTCTCATGCTTAAGGTTATTTCACAGCCCTGAAAATACAGTGAGGAACCACCGTACCTTAAAGCACAGTGTTGCATTTGAGTCTTCTGCTGTGGTAGTTGTGGCGCTGGATGCCGCTGCTTTTGAGAGCATTTAGCAAATAAAGAATGTGTTGCAACTCAAGTAGCATGAGAAGATGGGTATGTCAGACTAATAGATGTGTCTGATGAGACACTAGGAGAAAAGCACTGAACCTGGTCTTGGGTGATGACACAGAGGTGGAAAGGCTCCCCCAGAGCAGATCACTGTTGTTATTGCTCTTTGGGTGGAGCTTGGCCCTTTTGGGCCAATTTTGCACAGCTAAATTGCCCAGAGGATGCTGTGTGCCTAAGATACAGGGTGCTGTTAAACTCCTCCCAAAAGCCCAAGCACAAACCAAAACTAAAGCAGCCTCTGAGGAGAGCTTGCTTGGACAGAGCTGTGTGCTGTGCCTTCAGCTCAGCCAGTTCAGGGTGCAGCACAGAGGCAAAGGAGATCATAAAGCAAAGGGACTCTGGTAAGTGACACAGGGCTCCTGGTCCTTGCTGCAGATGGAGGATGCTCCGGGTGCTGACTTGCAGAGCGTGGCACAGGGGCGGTACTGGCAGTACTGGGGTGTGCTCTGGGGCTTCTCATTGCCCTTGCAGGATATTTCCCTTGCAGTTTGTGCTGCTTTGCCTGTCCATGGGCACCTGCCAGGGCAGTGTGTGGGATGCCCTGCCTTGGGCCTGCTGGGCCATGGGTTTGGAATTTCAGCTTTGTTCCAGGCGTGGCACCCATGGCTTCTCAGAGGTGCGCTTATGGATTGCAGGAGCAAGCGTGCCCTGCACGGCATTAGATTTTGCTTGTCTGCTTGTAAGAAATGCAGATTAAAATTGATAATCTGGGTTCAGGACAAACGTGTCCAAGACTGTGAAAGCTGCTGTCCCCTTCCCTTCTGTTGTCCTTCAGCTCCAGAGGTGTGCTAGGTGGCCCCGAGTCCCTTGTGGCTTTGCTTAGTGTGCCCGCTGTGTGGGGAGCATCTTCCTGATTTGCAAGAACATTTTTCTCAAATTTATTTTCGTTTTAAGTGGTGTATTCAAACCTGATTAACGACTTGGACAAGAGTTGCAAGCTTATAGATGTACAAACAAGCTATGCTGTTGCTGATTTCTATAAAATGATAGCTTGATGTCTGTGTGCCTGTAGTTATGAACAAATTGATCTATGGATGACTAGTTCAGAAGATGAAATTTGCTTGCCAATAAAACAAAATTTTATTTGCTTATAGTTGTTTTTAAAAAACAACTGGTGAAGCCCAAAGCTCTCTGGCAAAGCTTAGAAGTTTCTCTTGATGGAGGTTATGTTCAAGTTGAGGTGATGCTTTCTTCAGCGACTGCCAAAATTCAGTTCAGCTTTGTTCTGGTTTGTTTTCTGTTTCTTTTCTGCCCAAGTGCAAACTAATGGATGATGATTTGGGTTTGGTTTCTCCTTGGTTTTTTTTCATTCAGTTAAACAAGAGACAAACACAGCTTAATAAAGTTTTGTGTATGAAGCTGATTACAGGTTGAATGATTTTGCATGCTCTTGCTGGAGTGTGGACTTGAGAAATGATTGTAGTTGATTCTCACGTGCTCCAGCACAATTGTCCCCATGTGGGCTGTACCTCATCCCGTCAGCCCTCAGCAGTTTCACCTTGTTGCAAAGGCTGATTCCTTGCTTTATTTGTCATGGCCATTGGAAGGTGTTGGGTGAATTTCAGTACTGTGCAATTGCTCTTTGGAGGAAATTATCTTTTCTTCTTTTGTTTGTTTGCTTATTTTTGCCTGCACATAGCAAATAATTCCTTTCTGTGCCAGTTCTCTCATTGTTTTTGTTCTTCTGAAAGAAATCCTGCCTGTAGGCTGAAGTTATTGTTATAAACTTCAGTCACACCAGTTGAAGTGGCAAGGAGTGCTTCACTGGTGTGTGTGTGTGCTGTTTAGTTTTGGAATCACGTTCCTCACCTCTGAGCCTTGGGAAGAAAGAGATTCCATGTTGCATTGTGCCTTTCAGCTCATAAGTGTACTGCAAAATATTTTGTGTGGCTCCTGATTTTCCTTGGTTGAGGAAAGCTCTGGAAATCCAGTGTGCCTTCCTGGTAACAGAGGAACCAGAAGTAGTGCCTGAGGTGGAAATGAAACCTTGTCCATGAGTTATTACGTCAGCTGGATGTAGGTAGGAGTGCCTGTGGCTGAGCAGCAGCTGCCTGGCCGTTCCTGGTACCCTGTCCAGGTGGCTTATGGTTTTTGGCCATTGTGCAGGGATTATTTTAACAGGACAGTTGTACCATAAAGGAGCCAGCAGATGAGTGTATTTGATTTCTGGTGGGTGCCACCTCACTGCTGGGATCCCAGACTAAGAGCAGTATTTTGTTTCTGGCTAGTGTACCTGAGTGCCTTGAGCCATAAGTTTTCATCTCTCAGTGGCTGCTCAGGCTGATCTAAGAGTGTGGCTCATGACATTCAGCTGAGAAGAGCACTCAGAGTCTTCTTTCTTAGTTTGTTGTTCACTGACTCTTGAGTGTGTGCTGGTGGAAACTGGAAGTGGAGCTTTTATAGAGTGTTGCTATCAGTGGGACTTCCCTTGGTGCCTGGCGATCCATGGACAGACTGTTCCTTGTAAATCTGGCCTGTTTGAATTGCTGATGCTCATGCCCTGACTTTGGGCTTAAATTTCACTGGTGTGTTTACCTCCAAACCCCTTGGGCCTGCTAAGGCTCGGGTCCTTGCCGTCAGGGAGGTGCTGTACTAACTGGGACACGTGGAGATTTTAATCTTTGGAAAGCCTGGTTTCATGGCACCCACGTTGCTAGCAAGGAGTACCTCTGATTTTATTTCACTGCCTTTTAATGACCTGGGAGACCCAAACAGTTCGTTAAGGCTCTGCTATCCCTATTGAGATCTTTCAGGAAATAATGAGAGGAAATAACACTGAGACCAGTGAAGGATTGTACTGAGACATCCTCTAAAATTGAGTGATGGTGTCACGTGTGTCAAGCACCGTGGTGCTGTCACGTGAAATGTGGAAGAGGTGCTGGGCGAGGAAATAGGACAGCTTCCAATGAAGCCAAGATGCAGTGGGATACAGATCTCCTGTAGTGGAATGGCTTGTCACAGATTATTATGTTTTGTACCCAGAGACATTTGCAGTCTTCATTGAGGAATGCCAGAAATTCGTTAACAAGTATGCTTTGCTTCTTGCTATATTCATAAGAACGTGTGGTGGCCATCATCTGCTTTTTACCAGGTTCTTCAGAATATCCTGATAAGGCTCCATCTTTGTGTATTCTCCCAGGTGCTCAGGGTGTAGATCCTGTACCCAGTTTTGTGTTCATCATCTGCCTGTGAGGCAAAGAACAAAAATAGGATACTCTCACCTGTGGAATGTGGGAGATGTCCTTGTTTTTTAAGGCCGGTTTCTAAGTAGAATTCCTAGAATTCATATTTTGCTTTCTTTCCTTTCCCCCTGCTTTGAAAAAAAACCAAACTCCAGTGTTTTGGTTAGTTCATTTCAGGGTGGTTTTTATCTTTTCAAAGCACCTGTTCTGTAAGGGATTTGTATCCATGCACGGGGCTCAAATCTTTGATGTCCCGTAGTATTTTGACATTTGGTTCTGTATCTTATTAGCATAATTACTTCCTCTGGGGCTTCCTGTGAGGCAAAACTAATGCAGTGTTCCAGAGTCTTGGTGACTTATATCTAAGGGTTTGTTTAAAACCCCTATATTATGGTAGGATTTTGGATAACCCTGTCATCTGGAGGTTCAAGAATTGTGTTTCAGGTCTTGCCTTGTGCATTACCTGCATGTTTTTGAGACTGTTGTTTCAGGTGTGATTCCTGACTAACTGTATTTGGGGCCATTTCTTGGTATTGTCTTGTGGCTTGGATTACTGGCTTGAGGTAATTTGGGTTGTCCATGAAGTGTAGTAGACTATTGGAGCCAAGTATGTGGGCTTTTTTCTCCAGAGTTCAGTTATGATGCAGGATCTGACTTGTTCATGGCATTGTTCCTGTGTGTCTTCTGCCTTTAGTAGAGGCCCTTCCTAAGCTGAGGTTCATCTCCCAGTTTCACTTCATATGCTTTATGTGCTGTCTGCCTGTAATTGCAAACAGTATTTTGTTTGGCCCTTGGTTCAGATTGATGGGTCAAGGTTATTTTGGTTAAAAGGCAAAAATCTTACTCTAGGATTACCTCCCAAGTTGGAAACTTGGATTTTTGACTTGGTCTTCTTTGCCTGTTTCCTTGCATACACAGTAATTTTTGGAGAGAGAAAGTAGATTAAGCATCTGTGTGAGAACTGGAGGGAATTTCGTGATCACAGACAGTGGTAGTCTTAAGTGAGCTGGCAAAAGCAACATGTTGGGTACTGGCAAGCCATTAAAAAGTGTTTTAGAGTACTGAGGATTATTTTATGACATGGATGATCTGTAGGACAGTATGGATAAGTAGGAGCATAGCAGGTGGAAGCACGTGGCCCCCTGGAAGTCCTTTCCAACTTAGGAGATGCTATGACAAAAGTGAAATGCAGTTGGGTTGGACAACCAGTACCTAAGGCTTTGGTCATCTCTGGGGCACTGAGGTTTCCCTTCCCTGTCCTCATGGAGTGTGGGCCAGCCCACGTGGTTACTTCATATTGGTACTCTGGCTTCATCTCACAGATGTGACAGTAACCTTCTGAAGCAGAGCTACCAGCTGCCTTAAGTAAGTGTGTTCCTGTTTGCTTTGCAGGGCTGTTGAACTGGGCTTTGAAAACATTCATCGGCCAAAGGGATAAGTAAATGGTGCAGGAGATTTTTAACAGGGTTTTTGTTTGTTCATTTCAGGGTGGTTTTTTATGTTTTTCAAAGCACCTGCTCAGTAAGGGACTTTGTACCCATTGTTCCCTTTTCATCAAGGTAATACATGAATAGACTGAAATTTTCTTGTTTATCCAAAAGAGGTGGGAGACGCTGTCCTGAATTGGTTGAGTATTTTCTAGTGAATTAAGGCCCTGTATGCATAACTGTTTCAATCCTAATATCACAATGTTTATCCTTTTATGGGGAAGTTGGGATTCATGGGGGTGCCTTCCAAGTAACATGAATGTTTTCACTTGCAGCGTTTGACACTGAGTACCAAAGAAATGGTGATGGAGAAGCCAAGTCCCCTGCTCGTAGGGCGGGAGTTTGTGAGACAGTACTACACCCTGCTAAACAAAGCTCCTGACTTCTTGCACAGGTAACATTTGCACTCACCAAGTGATGCTGTTTGGGAACAAAAGCATGTCCTGATTGATGTGAATCACACATTTGTTTCTGAGAATGGGAGAAAAGGAACCTGGCTAACTTCTGGGCTGTTGGAAAACTCGTTCATCTTACTGCTAACTCCCTAGGCTCTAGAACCAAGTCAGCCCATGTGGATGTGTGGCATGTTATCAGGTGATTTCTTTTGTGGAAAAGTGTGCTGCTTCTGAGGCGATAAAATGGTAATGTGGACAGATGGCAGAAATACCTGTGGAGGCTGGATAGCTACTCTTGAGCATCTGCCCTGGTGCTGCAGGTGTTACTCTCTGCTCAGGGACATTCTGTGTCCACTTGAGAGGTGGTACAAGTGTCACTCACAACAGCACCTGTGGAATTTCTCTTAACTACCTCTGCAGAGAAGAGTCCAAGGGGTTTTGATTTGGTTTGGTTTAATCTTACTCAGTTCTGGAGCTGCTTGTGTGAAATGTTTTCTAGCCCCTTGCAGTCCCTGCCACCGCTGCCCCTTTCTTCTGGTCAGGCTCAGATATGGATATTTGCCTTTGTGTTCTTTGGCTGCACCTTTCTTCTGAGTGATATTCTCCAGGGAGGGCGTCCTATGCTTCCTCTTTATCTTGCTGTTAGTCTTAACAGCAGCTTGCTCTCTGCCACAGAAAGATTTGGGTTTCCCTGGTGTCCTGGTGCTTGATGTGCTCTTTGCAGAAGTGAGGGAGTTGGGACAACAAGTGTTATTGTTTCATCCTACTAAAAGCTTGAGAAGAGCGCAGAGGATCCCGTTGCTGGTCATTATCTAAAGCTTGCCCAGGCCTCAGGAGCAGCAGAGATCAGTTGGCCCTCTGAAGGGGTGTTACTCGATGTGGTTGAATGCCTGTTGCATTTCAGTTGAATTTGTAGGGCTTTTCTGGCCCCTTGACCAGAAGTCTTTCATTCCATTTAATTGGGGGCTCTGCCACCCAGAGACTTTGAGCAGTTCCTTAAAAACAAATTGAAACTCTTGGTTCCCTGTGAAGGCCCTTAGTTAGAGCTGCTGACTTTCAGAGAGATTGCTTTGAAATTTAGAGGGAAATGTTTTAAAGGAAATACATTTTCCTATCTGCTTGTGCTCTGCTTCAGCTAAGTTTCTGTATTTCCTTGCTGTTAGGAAGTGCTGGACCATGCTCAAAGTCATGATTTTGTGGTTGGTACCAAAGAAAACAATCTAATATTTCCCAGAATCTTTCCTGGACATAGTCAAGGGAGTAAAAGTCTCGGGCTTTTATTTCCACAATAGTAGGACTAAAAAGAGTTTCTAAGTTCAGTAGAACAAACCATTGTTGCCACTCTTGTGTGACACTGAGTTCATCAAGGTACTTCATGACAACTTTATTTCCTATAAGCCGTACAAGGGTGGATAATAAAGGTGCATATTAGCATCGGTACCTCATGGCTACCACCCCCAGGCAAAGCATGCTCCTAAATAAAAACACAGGGTGATACAATGTTTCTTTCTATTAATATAAATGTACTGAAAATATAAAACATTTGTCACCTGCTTTATAAGCTGACAGTAACAATCCAAATCAAATCAGACTATTGTAGGCTCAAAATGTGGAAATGGAATGAAAGTGCCAAAGGATCTCTGAGATATCTGAAAAATACCGGGAGTGAGTGTACAGAGTTAAATATCAAAACCACTCTCTCAGTGCTGGCCAAGGCTGTGCAGAGAACAGCATTCAGAGGAGTGGCAGGAGGGTGGTACCACGCTGGGCAAGGCAGGGGCTTCTGAGGGTGAGGAACCTTCCAGCCAAAGTGGCCACCTTCCTTAAAGGAAGCAAGCCAAAGGTTAAGGTTGATGTAAGAGTTTGCAGCTACACCTGTTAAGTTTGTTTGTTCTGGAGCCTCTTGAATCTGTGAAATTTGTGAAGTACTGAGCTCTACGACTTTTGGCTAAAATTCTTTTTGGATTTGGTTCTATCTTTTCACTTCTGTGATTTTTACATCTCTTTGCTTGCAGGTTTTATGGCAGGAATTCTTCTTATGTTCATGGAGGACTGGATGCCAGTGGGAAACCGCAAGAAGCAGTGTATGGTCAAGCTGTGAGTATTAAAATTTGTCCTGTAATCCTTGTTAATGTTCAGAATAAACAAGGTTTTTTCTTCACCAGTGACTTTGACTTTCTTGCCTGGTGAGTAATGGATTGTGATACTGCTTCCTGTTCAGAGACAGATAGGAATTTGTTAGCTTGAGGGGTTTTGTTTGCTTATTTCTGCCTTCAGTGGCAGTTGTGTTTGATTCTTCAGCTTTGCATCTGGGCTGCAGAATATACCTTTCGGATGGGAAACAAAATTGAGAGGTCCTGATAGATTTGGGCAACAAATGTATCGTGTTTCAGTTAGCAGTAGTTCCTCAGGAAAGGACTGATCTTTGTGAGTTTCATTCATTCTTGTGTGAGCAGAGTTTTGTTGAAGTGGAACATAACTATGTGAAGAAATGAATGGTTTGCCTACTCTGAGAAGTAGGTGAATCCTAGTGAAAAAGTTCAGATTTGAAGTTGAGAGAGCTCAGGAAGACTGCTCTCAGTGAAAGAGACTTGTTGATTCCTGTATTATGTTTTGAGCCTCAGAGGAGTGCTCTTTTGGGGTTAGTTGAGACTCAACGAGGTAGAAGGTGTAAAGCTCTGTACAGAATTCAGTGCAGCTGAACTGTGTCTGTCTGTTTGTAGGAGATCCACAAGAAGGTGATGTCCCTGCAGTTCAGTGAGTGCCACACCAAGATCCGTCACGTGGATGCCCACGCCACTCTGAGCGATGGCGTGGTCGTGCAGGTCATGGGAGAGCTGTCCAACAACGGGCAGCCCATGAGGAAGTTCATGCAGACTTTTGTGCTTGCTCCAGAAGTAAGGATATGTGAGATTGTGTCACACTTCAGATAATGGTGGAAAAATCTGACCTCACCTGTAGCTACCATTTGTCATACTGGGACAGAAAATAGGATAGGCTTTAAAAAATAAGTAGGATCTGGATCTAAAAAAACAATAGGATCTGGCTTTCAAACTTGGTCTGCAGAGTACCATTAAATGCGTCACAGAGTGTGAGTGCAGAGAAACTAGTGTATTGGACCCATCCTGAGCTGTTTTATTTCCTTGGACTTGAAATGTTACAGCAGTAATACAAAGAAAATTGAAGCTTGCATTTGGGAGCTGCCATTGGCACAAATAATTTCTTTAAAAAACAAGATTCAGCTCTGTATATCAAATCTCTGCTGTAGTGGTGTAGTTTCATGTCTGATGGCAAAGGGGAGTATGGGATACACAAGTTACTGCTCACATTTAGCTCTTGGTGAGAGCAAAGCTGTCTTGTTTTGTTTCTGCTTCTTTCCCCCTGCTGCATCACAAACTAATGTGTGGTTGGAGAGTAATGTTTTAGGTTCATGTTGAATTTCTTCATTGTTTCCCTGCACAGTGCTGTAAGCATACGGCCACCCTGTGGAAGTTCAGGGTTTTCATTGCAAAGTTTTTGTAGTAGAGACAATTGAAATTCCTCAATGAAACTCAGGGGCTGTACATTTAGTTAAAATCTATGATTGCTATGACTTAGCAGAATGAGCAGATTTTATTCTGCTTCAGACTTCCTTTTTCAGTTGGGCAGAAGCTATTGTTCAATTGTTTGCCTAAAGAAAAAGAAAATAGCTCAGAAAATAACTTCAGTGACATAGTCCTATTGCATAATGTCAGTGTGTACCCCAAAACTTAGGTCTGTGGTCCGTCCTTGAGTTGTCTGCTGATACGCCATGTATGCTAACCACTGCATGTTCCTCTTTTACAGGGATCTGTTCCAAACAAGTTCTATGTCCATAATGATATCTTCAGATACGAAGATGAAGTATTTGGGGATTCAGAAGGAGAACTTGATGAAGGTGAGAAGGACTCGTGTGTAGGGTTTGTGTCATTCTTATTCCTCTTGTTCCTCTCTCTTGTGTGCAGAGCTGCCAGAAGTGTTTGTGGAGATGTTGGAATGCAAACTGTGTTGCCTGCTGTGGGGCACAGAGGTGTTGTTACTGAAGTTCTGTGGTCCAAAATGTTCTGGAAAATGAAGTCCTGTAGTAGTGCTGTGTTCCCTGAAGGGCTGAACTGGCTCACAGAGGGTGAGACTTGACAGAGAATGGAAGCAGTGAGCAGCAGGACTTCTGCTGCCATAGCTGCAGCAGGCACACTAGTGGTCAGTCAAATTTGTGTGCAATTTGAAGAAAAGTCTTTACTGGTTTTCAGGTATGACACATAGTTCATTTTCATGTCATCCTCACACTCAGTAATTCATTGCTACTTTAGGGCTGAAATGGACCCGAGTTGGGCTTTTTCCCCTCTGTTCAATGAGACACAGCAAATTACAGTGTAGCCAGAACATGTGTACAGGTATTCACTGGGTGGTTTCTTGAGTTTGTTCATCTCATTTCTGTGGAACAAAGCATTTTAGGCAATCATCCTTGTATTTGAGGTTCATCTTCTTAGTCTGAGGCCCTGAGATTTATGAGGTAATAGTGCAATTTTTCTCTTTCACTGCCACCATATGAAAAGCACCTGCTGCTTTAAAAGAGCCCCAAACCTCCTCCCTGAACTTCCTAGCAGTAATATGCCTCTGGCTTCCTCTTCTTGTGTAAATCATAAACAGCCCAGCCTCTTGACTGAGAGGCAGCCTCTTCCATTCTTTTTTTGCAGCTCATTTTACCACGTTTTGTTGGTAAAGCTTTATTTTGATTGCTGCTAACTTAATATGCTTTTATTTTACTGCGGCTTGTGTATGCATGTGGAGATCCATAAGAGATGACAAGTTGGTTTTTTTGTGTCAGAATCTGAGGAAGAGGTGGAAGAAGAGCAGGAGGAAAGACAACCATCACCTGAACCTGTGCAAGAGAATGCAAGCAGTACTTATTATGAAAACCATCCTGTAACGTAAGAAGTCCTTTTTATTATATGAAGTTGCTTTCTTAATAAAAACCACAGACAGAATTGCTTTGGCTTTAGGTTCTGTATGTGATTTAACAGGTTGTGTAGGAAAATTCACTTAGCTTGATAGGGATCTGTGTTAACATTACATCATTTTGAGACATTCCTTTTTTATTGAAGAGAAGAATTGGGGTATTCTTTAATGTTTGTTAGTTATTTTCACTTCTGGTCTCAAAAGTGAGATGAAAAGGGAGCCACCCCCATGTATGTACAAACTTAATGGAATCTTTGTAATCCAGACTTGGAACAGAAGGTTTGGTATGATGACTTACGTCACAGGTACGTTAAAAAAAGGATGGTTGATGAAACACAGACTAGTTTGAGTTGGAAGGGACCTTTTAAGGGTCATCTAGTCCAACTCCTTGCACTGAGCAGGGATATCTTGGTATGTTACTCAGATTTGGGGATCACTTCGAGCTGAGAGAAGGAGGTACTTTTTGAAAGCCTGCTGTTCATCTTTCTTGGAAAAATAGGTCTTTGTCCTGAGTGTCTGCAAATCTAAGCCAGATCAAAGAAAAAAAATATATTTATGGTTTTGTAAGAAAAATACAACCAAATAACCCCCACAAATACGAAGAAACAAACAACACCAAACCCTGTGCTTTTTATGAAACATAGGAGTGGTGTAAGGACAGCCAGATCTGACTTTCTGGTTCCCCTATTAAAAAAACATGTATGACATCACTAGACAATACCTGCTGAGTGCATCAGTGGTAATACTAAACACAAGTCATTTAATGCTTCTCATGAGAAATATGATGGAAAAGTGGTGGGATTCTGGCAGGAGTTTGCTCAGGATAATGCAGTAAGTTTTGGGTGCCTGAGAGCACAAAGTCAGGTCTTGTTTTGGGGTTACTGTGTCATTTGGAAAGGGGCTGTAAAGGCATTGATCATCATAGAGTCACTTGGGCAGTGGTGGCATGCAGCTGGAGCTGCATAGACAGAGGTGACTGGAGATAAGGTAGCATTCTGGGTGGCTGGAGAGAGGAGATGTTCAGATCCCCTACCTTTCAACCACACAGAGCACAGAAGAAGTTGCATATGATTTTCTGTGAATGGGACTCACAGCTGCTTTGGTAAGGAAGCTGTGTAGCATTTGGTAAAGGAACAGTAGGTTTCATTCCAGAATTGGCTTTGGTTATGTGTGTAGCTTAATCGTCCGTTGGTCCTCACTGTGTTCGTGTTCTTTTAGAAGCAGCAATGCTTGAGTTGAGCACCTCTTCTCCAGGGTTAAAAGGCTGTGTGATTCTCTGCAGAGAACTGTAGAAATGTCTTTGCTTCGGCGCAAGTAAAATCTGGTTTTGTACCCAGCAGGGGAGTCCAGCTTCACTTCCCACTGTACTGTATACATACAGACCCCGTTGTAGCAAATGGAGACACAGCGATCTTTTTCATAGCAGGGCTGTTGCCACAGCGCAGCTTACAAAATGTGACAAAATGCAAAGCAATTGATAAGCTCATCAAATGCATTTGGCTATTGTAGCAATGGGATAGAGGAGGCACTGGAGGAATCTTCTCATGAACCTGAGCCAGAATTGGAATCTGAAACAAAAGCTGAGGAGCTGAAGGCTGAAGCGGAAGAAAAGACCCTTGAGGAACTAGAAGAGAAATCTCCATCTCCACCTCCTGTAGAACCTGTTTCGCTACCGCAAGAACCACCAAAGGTTAGTTACAGGTCACATCTGTGCTACTAAGTGCAGATGAAAACTGTATTGGCCTTTAAACTTTGCCTTTTTGGGTGCCTAAACTGGTACCTCTCTTTAGTGTCATGCTGTATGAACAACTAGGCTTGACCTTTGAACTTGTCAAAATGTGAAGTTTCACTAAAATAGAAATGTTATTTTTAAGTGCTGCTCATCACCTATGGTAGATGTTAAGCTCTTCTTGTAAAGTGTGTGTGTGGGTATATGCATGTGTAGACATTTTTAATTGTGCAGTTAACATGTTAAGAAAACACCTGTGGCTACCACTGCCAAAAATCTCATACAATGGGAACCGCTGCTCTTTCCTTGAGAATACATGGAACACACTGAAGCTTGTGGAATTGCTGCAGCCTAGGTTCAAAACCAGTGTGGGGCACTGAGTGTCTCCTGGATGCAGGAGGCCTAATCTTAGAAACCAGAGTGCACACTGTGCATCCTTTGGTCTCTGGTGTGGTTAACCCTGCGGGCTTGCAGAGTGCTGGGAGCAGCCAGGGAGAGCTGGAGACAGGTCATTTTCTAGCTCCAGCATGTCTCTTATATTTTTTTCCAGTCCTTTTTCTCTTCTCCATTTTTGATTGTAACTTCAGGCATCCGCTCCCTTTCTTCATGCAAAAGACACTGAACACTACAGGGTTTTCAGCCCTAGGTTTGGTTACATGATGGAAAGCAGTTGTCTGGGAATGCTGAGGGCACTGGGCTCACTCAAGTAGCGATAGTGGGCACAGTACACACTTGTTCCATGCCATTGGAATCCACAGACTGCTGGGACTGCAGACCCTTCTGTACCTCCATTGTATGCTTGCACAACCATTATTTAATAGTCAGATATGAACCAAAAGTGTGTTTTTAGCAGCCAAGTTTCCCTGTAGGAATGTCAGTGGTTTGCCGTGATTAGTAGCCTAGGTTTGTTGCATTTCCTGCAGGCTTTCTCTTGGGCTTCAGTGACCAGTAAAAACCTGCCTCCTAGTGGTACTGTTTCTTCCTCTGGAATTCCACCCCATGTTAAAGCACCAGTCTCACAGGTAACCCATCTGTGAACACCTTGGATTGTCTCATTAATTCTGCAAACTGCTTCAGTTTTTTAAATTAACAGATCAACTTGTTTGACTTAAATTGCACAAATTAATTGTGTGTTAAATGTTAATGCACTCACCTCCTTGTCACAAGTAAAGCCACGAACGTGTAACTGGTGGAACTTTGGGTGATGGTAATGTTAAAATCTGGCCTTGTGGAAACAGGAAATCACTCCTGGGGTTTTTTACCTAACTTAATGGCTTGGTTTAAAGGGGAAACACCAATTCCCAACAAAATGTTACTTTTCTGAAGTGTGTTTGAAAAGGGCATTGGTGGAAGTGGCCCAGCAGTAAAAAGAGAGTGCATCATTTCTGAGGTGCAAGATTGCCTTGTAAGGCTAACATCCACAGGACTATGCTGGATTTCATTATCCATGGACAATCAGCTTATCACAGAACCCTGTACCAACTTATGACTGTGTGAGGAATGGAAGGATTCTCATTTCCTTTCCTGGACAATGCTATCTTCCCATTCCTAGGTTGACTGGGTGAGGAGGGGAAAAGAGGAGGGCGAGTTTGACCCGGTGGCAGCTCATGTCCTGCTCATGCCAAGGTGGTGTGAGACCTTCTGAGACTCTCAATTCAGCTTCCTCCATCTGTATGAAAGTGCTCAAACCAGAAAATATGTCCTTGACCCCGTGCATTGACAGGGTGTGCTAGAGTGCTGTATCTTGAGTTGCTCCTGTCCAGCCTTTGTGTGAGGCTGCAATTTTCAGTAGAATAGCTGTGTTGCTGCAGCTGTTCCTCTGGTTTCTTCTCAATTTTGTGGTAACAGAGATCTCTGTCTAGGACTAGCCTTCACGCTTTAAATGCATGTTAAAAAGGAAACAAGGAAGAAAAAGAGAAAAATGTAAGAAAATTAACCAAAAAACCCCAACACCCTACGTGGTGTTGCTTCTGGTCTGCTGGACTATCAAGGACATCAAATAAAGGCTGTGGAATGATTTGGGAAGTCTGTCTGTCTTCATCAGCTTTGAATACCTGGGTGGTATTTAACCTGTAAAAACTGGGTTTTTTAGTGAAGGATAGATTTTCCTTACAAAAAGCCAAAATTGGTTTTAATTTATTTGCCACAGAAAAGGTGGAGGGTTGTAATGTGGCTGCAAAAATAATTTCAAGGGATCTGTCCAAGAGAGCAGGAGATAGTTTATAGATGTCCCCTTAAACTCCTCTGTGTTGCCTCTGTTGCTTGTTGTGCTTTGTGCCTTTTGATTTCTTTATCTTTGACTTTGTGTTTTAAGTAATGGTGTGTGGAAGTTTCTGAACAATACTGACATGGCAGGAATTTCAGCTCTTCTGTAGCTGGAATTAGTCAGTTCTGAGCTCCTTTTCTTGAAAATATTTTAGACCCAGTGTGTAGAAGTCGGGTAGAAGAGGCACCTGAACAAGGAGCTGCAAATCAATAGCAGCTTTTTCCGATTTTCAGGGATCCATTAGTGCCAGACACTGTGCATGTAAACAAGGACAGAAGATGCCCTGGTGGGTGGGTGAGTGGCCCCTTTGAGATGCTGTTGTAGCTGGTGTCAGTGATGTTACAGAGAAATAACTGCTCTGCTCACTCTTTTCTCTGCATCACTCCAGTTTCCCCCCCTCCCCACTATTAAGTTAAAAAAACAGCCCTGTAGTGTTAACTCCTCAAAGGACTGCACATGGGCTGTTCTGGATACAAACTGGTTCAGGGCTGTTTCCTTACAGCTGTGGAGTGAAACAGGTCAGCATTTCTTGCTCTTTTTCTAATTGTAGATTATTAGAAATCAGCGTGCCTACATTGATAAACTAGGACTTTTACTTCCTTCCTTTCAGTTACTTTTACTTCCCATTTTTATTACTGCATTGTTTGTCATAGAGCTGCAGAGGGGCAGGGGTAGGCAGGGCCTGATTCTTGTCTTTTGGGGAGAGTCCCTTCCCCTCCCCATGTGAGCTCCTGAAGAGAAGAGACAGAGCCACCTTTCTTTAATGGCTGTCAAAGCTCTGCTAGGCTGAGGTTTGTGGCATTCTTGGCTCCTGTGGTAATTGGGGTTTCTTGAACTCCTTACTCAGTGTCCTTCCATCCACTCTGTGCTTGCTGGGACATGCTGGAAGATGTAAGTTGCAACGAGCTGCTGCTTGGGCTGCAAATGGCAGCCCTGATCTTGTGGTGCTGCCAGTTGTGGCAGTGTTTTGGGGAGCAGAGTTCTGTGCAAGGGCTTTCCTCTTGAGGCACTGAGGCAGCCTTTTTCTGTGGAAAAGGATGGGACTCCTTAGAAAACAACCAGAGAGATCAGCTCTTTGTGTGCTGGCTGAGAAGATCAGTGGCACACAAAGCAGGCAGGTTCAAGGTTGCTGTTATACTTGGGATTTAACAGCAGGGCATCAGTGACTTAGCAGGAGTTTAAGCCTGATAGTCATGAGTATCCAAGAAATGGGGCTCTGAAGGTGTCAAGTTTTGCTCTTGAGGTGTAATTTATGATGTTCTCAGGATATGTAAGTGAAAGATGGCAGAGGAGCTCCAGTGACTCTCAAAATAGTAGAGTGGTGCAAGATTTAACAGGAAGACTGATTTTCCAAGCTTGTTCTTAAAAAGTGATCCTAGAAGTGTTGTAAGGACAGACTAATGCCTACCTGCATGGAGCACAAGTGACAGGAGGGCTAAGACATTTGTTGGGTGTGTAACACTTGCATGTTGCATGTGAAATCCAGGTTTTTTTCCCCCTGGGAAGTGCTCTGTTGTCCTGAGCTGCCTGTTGTCCTGAGTCCTTAAAGGAAAATAAGGGAGATGTTTAATATAAACTACTTCTCCCCAGCAGTCTGGGCCTATAGCTGTTCACCTTGTGTTAAATCTTACTTGCAGGCTACTTGTGTATTTTTGTGCTCCTGAGGATAATTTTGTTTTTCGAGATAAGAACCCAGCAAACCAGCAGCTGCTTAACTGTTGTACAGAAATGGAATTTAAAAAATGTTGGGAATTGCTTCAGTGACCAGTAGTCTGCATAGAAACATTTTTATTGTTCTGTCTGTTTCTCATAAAGCAAATTTTTAGCTTGCAAAAAATGGGAATGGGTGTTCTAGTACCTGAATATGAAGGGTGTACTTTGAGCATCATGGTCCTGACATCAGGAAAGGTGAATCATATCCTAGGAGGTAGTCTGTAGAAACTAATTTCAGGAAATAACTTCCAGGGGCTTTTGTTCTCCTCTTTCTTTTTGATAGTTTTCTTACAGCTGTTCTGCACTGGAGGGAAATAATTCCTTGGGGACTTGGACAGAACTTTGATATGTCTGTCTCTTTGTGTTCATCTTGGACTACTTCCTAATCCATGAAGTTTGAGCTTGGCTTGAGGAAGCTTTATGCCCTCTACAATTTAAGTTAGGCTGAGGGATTTGTGAATAATGGAACATTGGGGTCTCAATGCCCTGTCAAACATGGAAAATTCCCCTTAGCCATGTTTTGGGGAGATGCTCTGATTGAGACATGTTTGCTTTGCACCTTTTAACAGTGATAAATGAACACTGCAGTCCTGGATTGGTACAGAGGAATTTAGACAGGTGAAAAAACCACTCCCAAACCCATTGACACCGATGTCTATCTTCCAGAGTTTGTTTTGTGCATGCCACTTACCCATGTCTTGTGTTGTGGGGGTTTTTGTGAGTTTGGGGTTTTTGTTGTTTTTTTTTTTTTTACCAGCTCAGTGTTAAATAATGCACATTCTCCTCTTTTAGCCAAGAGTGGAAACTAAACCTGAAGCTCAGTCTCAGCCTCCTCGCGTTCGTGAGCAGCGTCCCAGGGAAAGACCGGGCTTTCCACCACGAGGACCTCGGCCAGGTAACGTGGATGAGCTTGTGTGACTGCTTGGGAAGAGTGAAGGAGAGGTGTCTGCTGAGGCCTTGTGTGTACCTGTGTCTGCCTGGCTGATCATGAACTGCCTGTGCCTGCTGCCTTCAGCCAGAATTGAGGGAGCATGATTTGGAGTCCAGGCTGGCTGGAGGGAATATGCTTGTTGCTGCCCCTAGATGTGTTCATTTAGGTTTTACACACATCTTTTAACCTCAGTGGTTCTACCTTCCTCTTTGTGTTGACGGTAGGAAGGGGAGACATGGAGCAGAACGAGTCGGATAATCGTCGGATAATTCGCTATCCAGACAGCCACCAGCTCTTTGTTGGGAACTTGCCACATGATATTGATGAGAGTGAACTGAAAGAGTTCTTCATGAGTAAGTAGTGATTCCAGCTGCAGGGACTAAGATGGAAAGCTGGGTTAAAAAGTCAGGTCCAAACGGGTTAAAAAGTTGTAGTCCAAACACCAATTTGGACTACATGGGTAAGCTGTGACATAGAGCCACACTACAGATGTCTGGAACGAACAGAGGGTAGAGCTGGCATTGTGGTTTTTCATAAAGTGTCTCTTCCCTTGTGTTTCTCCAGGCTTTGGAAATGTGGTAGAACTTCGCATAAATACTAAGGGAGTGGGAGGAAAACTGCCTAATTTTGGTTTCGTGGTGTTTGACGATTCTGAGCCGGTCCAGCGAATTTTAGTTGCAAAAGTAAGTATTGGCATTGGGTACTGAGTATCCCCTTCCAGGGATGGACCAAAAGGCCTAAACCTAAACAAGTATTCTGGGCCATCCTAGTTTGCATTACCATTGGCTCTGGCATTCCAAAACAGCTCAAAGAAAAACAGTTTTGGCATAGCCATTCTGTCAGGAGTGCTGTGTAGCTTTAAAAGCTTTGCCAGTGTTCCTCAAACTGCACCATGTGGAATTTGGTGTTTTTACCTCTATACAAGTGCTCCATACAGAGCTCAGAACTTACTTTTAGAGAATCTTTAGCTGAAAGTGGAACAGGTAACCTTTCAAAGACCATCACATGGATCTCTGAATTCTGCACCCTGGGGTTGAGAGGAGGGAACAGGGTTACTTGCAGTTTTGCTTTGAGGAGCTGGAGGGGAGAAAGCAGCAGTTTTCATTCCCATGGTGTGGGAGTGAGACCTAGTAGAGCAATTCTTCAGGAACTTGGACCCTGAAGTGGAAAGACTAAAGCTGGCAGTGAAGAGGCTAAAGACAACGCTGCTTCTGCTTGAGACAAGCACTTTAATTCTTTGGCTGCCCGAGTGAATGTAAGAATGGCATTCCGCAGGGCTAAGGCTGCATGCTGCAGGGAACCCCGAACGGGTCACGTTTGAGTTGGGCATGCCCGTGCAGGAGGGCTGGTGCCCACAGCCAGTGCAGAGCGTTCGTGTGCCTTGCGTGGAAGGGGCTTAGTGCCATGGTGACTAATGTGTGCCTGACCGCTTTTCCCCACAAGCCCATAATGTTCCGCGGGGAGGTGCGCCTGAACGTGGAAGAGAAAAAAACCAGAGCCGCTCGCGAGCGGGAGACGCGCGGCGGCGGCGACGAGCGCAGGGATCTCCGCCGCAATGAGAGAGGCCCGGGGGGGCCCCGCGGGATAGTGGGCGGCGGCATGATGCGGGACCGGGACGGAAGAGGACCTCCTCCGCGGGGCGGCATGGCACAGAAACTTGGCTCTGGACGAGGAACCGGGCAGATGGAAGGCCGTTTCACTGGACAGCGTCGCTGAAGTCTCCACTGTGGGCAGACAGTCTTGGCAGTGGTACATTACCCATCGTGTTTGCATTCTTGTTAATTTTTTTTTTAGCTTTGGAATGTGACACAGCCCTTCTGATCATTTCTTTGATGTGAAAACATCCTTTGGTTTCCAGTTTAAATTGAGGTGGACATTTTTTCCCCAGTTTCACAACAGGAGTCACACTCTTAATTTATAAATGTATACGTGGAGAATTGAAGACTAAAAAATAAAGAAAAAAGAAAAAGAAACAAAAGAAAAGAAAAGACCGGTTAACTATCTGCAACAGAATTTGAACTAAAGGACATGCCCAGTAGAATTCAGGTCCTTTCAGTCAAAAACCCTCTGCTGCACATTTTGTGTAAGTGTTACCGTTTCTGCCTACTACTGTTGGAAACACAAATAGTGCAATTTGTGCAATTGGAGAAGCTTGCCTTTTTTTTTTCCTTCTTAGAACACTCGGCTCCAAACAAACTCGTGTTTACGCACTCATCAAAATGCACTAATGGGTCCTCTGAACTCATTTATACTGACAGCTGCAGGAGGCATCGGAGGGAAAACCTTCATCCTCTTACTCAGAATAGCTTGGGGAACGATGCGGGCATCTGCTCTGCTTGCTGTGACCAACCTCTGTACACACACAAACCTTAATAAGACTACACCTTTGTTCCAGAAGGAGTCCAGTTAGCTGTAACCAGAACCCAGAGTTTCCAAGTCGTAGCCCTGAGTATGCAACAAGTTTGATAGCTCACATCAGATTTTTCTATCTGCCCCTCTTCAGTGCAGGGATGGCTGCTCAACACACTCCTCCTTCCCCTTCCCCCTTCGAGAAGCGTTGTACAGTGAAACTTGTCTTGACTGTATTTGAGTTCTCTGGTAATGTAATAAGCATGATGGTGCCTTCTATGAATACATCATTCCAGTCTTGCTGGTGATTTTGTACAGTATAGTGTATGAAGTACTGTGCTGCAAAGCCAAGTGGCTGCAAAGCATTTAAATAATTGGAAAATTGTATTTAAAAAATTGCAGTGTCTTTCAATGAGTAAATGTTGCTAAAATGATTATCCACCTTGCTCTTCAATTAACAAGTTTGCCTGTTTTTTTTGCAGTGGGGGGGAAGGGAGGATGAAGGCATCCAAGTAGTCTTCAGTCTTTTCTTTAATCAGTGTCAGAGTTAAAGCAGGTGGAGTTCTAATCTCTCTTGGACCTGAATTTCAGAAGTCAGTTGAGAATGGTGGACGCTTCTTGCCTGCTCATAATGGGTAGACCTAAGCATCCTTTGTGAGGGTGAGCTTTTCAAACGGGGATACTGCAATTTTCAGAGAACTAAACAGCAGCTCTTATGTTCTTGCATTTTCCAGTTGCACTTTTTTAAAAACTTGTACTCATTTTGCACGTAACTCAGCTGATGTTGACACTGACGTGGCTCTGGCCCTATGGATAGAAAGGAGGCTCTTGTGCAGTGTGACCGGTGGGTTCTCTGTGGAGAGGTGTGGGTGGCTGATGTCCCACGTTGCCACAAGCCGCCGCTGCAGCAGGCAGTGCGGGCAGGCCCAGTGCGGGCCCTGTGCTGAGCCGTGGCTCCGGGCTCAGAGCAATCGCGTGTCTGTGCGTGTGGCCGGGCAAAGGTGGCACCGCCAACAGCTGCTGCTGAACGTGGAAGGCTTCAAGCTAAAGAAGAGAGGCAATTTCAGCAAAAGCAGGGAGGACATCCTGGCAGTCTGGCTCTGGATTATGCAGTCATTTGCTGGTTTGGAGTAATGTGGAGGATTTTGCTCATCTTTTCTGATATGCTAGGTAAGGGGAAGTGGAATCTGTGTCTGTTCTCTCCCAGACTTGAGGTCTTCTGTGTTCCATGGTAAGTCTTGCACTATTTTCATACACTTTCTTTTCTGGGACACATTTCTAGCAATTGGCATTTTCATATTTCAGTTTTTTTGTTGAAGGTCTTGCCATTTCAGCTGTTACCTGGAAATCTGTAGTACTTGAACTGCTTGCCACACAACTCCACTCCTTAGGTTTGAAGCCCTCGGACAAATTGCTGTCATCAGTTAGCAGTTTTCCACCAGTGTGGTTTGTGTAGCCTGGAGGTTCTTTTTTCCTTCTGTAATGCTGTGGTGTTCTGCTGCCACCTAATTCATTTGTATGGCAAATGGCACTGGAAATAATTGACAACAGAAACAGAGTAGTAAAAAGAGCTCCTGAGCCATTCCGCTTTTTGGCTTGCTTCTTGTTTGAGTGACACAAACCCTTGGAACATCATCCAGAGAAGTTTACATGGTGATAGCTCACCTGCTGTACTGTGGACTCTTACGTGTTCTTGACCCTCTCAATAGTAAATGTACCTCTTAGAGCAAAGGAAGGGATTCACTGACCATAAATGTTAGTCACTGATTTGTGAATGGTGGGAGTGTTTTGTCATTACGGTTCTACTTCAACAAACTTGGCTGACCATCTTGACTTTAGTAGGTATTCGAGACAGTGGATTACCATCTTTATTGCTGTAACTTGTCAAGCATTATATGCTAGTAGATTCTAGTTTCATTGTTGCAGGTGGAAAGTATTTTTACTTTTAAGTTTCCATTCTGAATGTGTTTTGACTAAACATGCCAATAAACTACTGATGTCTGCAGCATTTATCCATGTCCCTAATTCTCTTGCATGCAGGTGGCTGTAGAGCCCTGGCACCCCTCACTCACAGAAAAGATTGTAAGAGCATTGTTGCTGACCTGGCCGGGGACAGTGGCAAGCTGCAGCAGCACAGCGCCGTGTGCTTTCAAGTGTTTGACTTTGGTGGTTTCTTTCACCTTGGGGTGTGTGTGTGTGTGGCCCAGGGAGGCTGTGAGCTCCTCTGGGACTCCTCCCAGACGTGTCCTAGGATTCCTCCACACCCTGCCAGGCTGCAGCGTCTGGCTGCGGGATACAGCTTAAACGGTTATTGCAGTGGTGCTGGGAGGAATGTGAGCTGAGCTGTCTTTAACATAACAGACTAGAGTTGCTTACTCTCCACTGTAGTGTCATTGACTTTTGATGGTGCAGAACTGTTTGCCCCCAATTTCCTGTTTTTTTACTTCTTGTGTTTGTTGGCAGCTACCCAAAAAGCTTGGTAAAAGGGTTATTCTTGCACTGCTCATAGATAAGGTGTGGCTGAATCATGGAACCTCTGAAGTTCCTGGTAGTTGCTGTTGGCTGTGTCTTGTTGAGGGCATGTCTTGCCTGTAATATTTCCTGATGAAAGGCAGTTAGGAAGTGACTGAAAAGTAATACAGTCTTGTGAGCTGGAATGCTGAATGAAAAACCTGGATCCTGTAGAAGTCCCAGAGTCTCCAAAAACTCAGAGGAGCACTCTCCACAGCTACAAGATGTGCTGATCTTCAGAGATCTCCAGAGAAACACGATCCCCTGTGCCAGCGATGAGGGCCTGCAGCTTTCAGACCTTGGTGCCTTGAGTTGTGAGATAAATTGTGCTAGTTCATGTTATCTGGGGCTGAGGGCAAGGGCAGGAGATAATGGTGTCTCAAACTCCACAGGGTCAGCCAGGACCTGCTTTCGAGCCACGAAGTCTTGTGTATTTCAGATTGTTCAAGAGCACCTTCCATCAGCATCGGAGCTGGCGTGACGGCCTTAGTGCAGGTAAGAGAGGAAATACCAGGCCAGCTGAGGGATGTCACACAGCAGTGACCTGCTGGCTGCTGCACAGGCCTCACCCATTCCCTGGCAGTGCCCATGCTCCAGTATCTTTACAAAGCCCAGTGGTTGCACAGCAGCCTTTGCAGTACAGTGACTGCTGGGCTTTTACATGTCGTGGAGAACTCCAGCTTGGAATGGTGATTTTTTGGACATGGTAAAGGAAGATAACAGGCTGCCTGATAATCCTTGGGAAAGCCATTGACGTCTGCTTAAAGCGTGGCTTCTTGCAAGGAGAAAAGCAGATTAGGAAGTCATTTTCCCTTTGGCTTGTGCTCTGCCTGCTGTTCCCTGGGCCTGAGCTGAAAGGGGACGTCTTGGTAACAGTGGTGCAGCGCTTGCTGTTCCCTGGGAAGGGTGGGAACTGTGGGAAGTGCAGTGTGTGTGTGTAGGAATTAAAGCTGAGAGCAGCTCTTGCAGACACAATGTTCCTCTTGGCTGCCTTGTTGCAGTAGGGGCTTCATTGCATGCCTGTCCCTTACTCTGGAGTCCCTGAGTGCCCTGAGAGGTGACGCTGAGTCGTTAATCCAGAACTGGTCCAGCGGGACACCAAGGAGTGGGAGTTCCCTGCCCTCAGGAGCCCATATTGCCCTGCAGCCCGCACAGCCAGCAAGTCCCAAAGTGCAGCTACACAAGGGCTGCTCTGGCACTGTGTGGTCACATTTGTCCTAAGGGACCAAGGACACACATTTGGCTGTTGTGTGACCTGGGCACTGTGCCCTGCCAGAAGCCAGTAAGGAGTGAGGGGGTGTGCTCTGCCTGGAGCACAAATGAGGGGTGTCTGTCTGGGATAGAGTGGGTCATTGTGGGATCAGGACCAAGTCCCTTCACTGGCTCAGACCACTCCTCAGCAAAGAGGAGAAACACGAGCCTGTCAGGGCACGTGCAGAGCACAGCAGCTCTGCCAGAGCCTCTCCTGGAGCATCACAGGGGCAGCAAGAGCTGCTGATGTTTCCCTGAGAAGGAGCACTTGGACTTCGCCTGGCATGTCGGCCTCTGCTGATCTGCAGGCAGGCATTGCTGTGCTGGGGGCAGAGGAGGCTGCTCTGTGCAAAGCTGGCTCAGTGCCCCCGTGCTGCCCCAGGCCTCTGGCTCCGTCGACCTGCTTACAGGAAGGAATAAAGATTCTGCAGGTAAGCATCGACCAAGGATCGTGTTCCTGTGCAATAAAACATGCTGCAGAATGAGCCTCTTCATCACAGCGGGCTGCAGGGTGTGACACCCGTGTGTTGCTGCTGGGTTCCGGACAGGAATTGGGCTCATGTGAAATGCGGCTCGGCTGCCCCCTCTCCACGCCGGGCCTCTGACAGCAGCGGCCGTTCGGGAACGGGGAAGAGCTGGGATCGCTTCTCACCGGGAATGATCAGGGACCAAACCTGGCTGCCACTGTGGGTGACACGGGTCCCGTTCCGGGAGCGGGCAGGGCCCTGCAGGGACACAGGGAGCCGTAGCTCGGGAAGCGCCGCCGTGGGGCCGCAGCACCGGCTCGGCTGCGTTGGGATGCGCTCGGGGCCGCTGCCTGCAGTACCGGGGCGCGTCCCGCAGGGGGCGCCCCGGCGGGGGCTGCGGGGCGGGGCCGGGGCGGAGCGCCGGGGGCGAGCCCCGCCCGGGGCCGGAGCCGTGCGCGCCCCGCGGCTTTTCTGGGAGGGCGGCGGGGTCCTGGCGGGGCTGTGGTTTGGCAGCGCCTCGGGGAGAAGGGCACGGTCCCCGCGGCCGTGACTGGGCTGTAACGGGGAGCCGGACGCTGCCCGGCCGCGTGGTCGGGGCCGGCTGCTGGTAAAGGGGCCGGGGTCCCCGCCCTTTCCGGGCTGCGCTGTGCGCTTGGGGAGACCTTTGGGTGTCTGCGGGCACGGACGAGGCGTTCCGGAGCTCGGGCCCAGGGTGAGTACGTGCTCTCCCACCTCGGGGCTGTCCCGAACTGCGGTTCCCAGCCGGGGGCAGGAGCAGCCGTGCCGGGGCTGTGCCGGGAGCTCAGGGCTGCCCCGGCCTGGGGCCTATCCCGCGGCAAAGTGTGACATGGCAGAGAAGGGAGTCAAGGGTGCTCTGGAACTTGGAACCTACACCAGTGTTTTCCAAACATGTTCGCAGGGATTCAGCTGCAGGGAGGCTGCAGAGAAGGCTGCTCGGCACTGCTCCCCAAAATGGACCCTCCCCGAATGGGGTCTCGCAGAGGATGGAACAATTGCAGCCACCGGGTCATTGCTGTGAAATTCGGTCAGTCTGGGGAAGGCTTTCCTGACTGTCCCTGTCTCCGAGCCAGCTGTGCCCTGTCCAGCGGCCCTGCCTGGGCAGCCGGCTCGGCACAGCTGGGTCCCTGCTCCCAGGCTCACCGGAGGGAGGCAGAGCCACCAAAGGAAGGGGCAGGTGGGCCCTGGAGCCACGGCAGGAGGAGGGAGAGGAGGCAAAGCCTCTGCACCCGCCCTGGGCCCAGGAGAAGCTTCTGAGAGGCACCGGGAGCTCGTGTTTGTCCAGAAAGCTCAGGAGCTCCAGGGAGGCTCAGGGGGTGCCCCGGCCCCTGCAGCACTGCGAGAAAAGGGGCAGGTGAGGGTGCACAGGGGTCGGCTGCAGTCCTTAGAAGCAGGGTCTGCTTTCACCACTGTTGTGCTGCCTGCAGGGACCAGTCGTGTGCATTGGGAGCTCCTGCTGGGGCAAAAGCTTTGTCTTCCAAGGGGCAAAGCTGCAGCCTCTTCCTCACCAGGGACTGCCTCCACACAGGAAGCAGCACAGGGGACTGGCCGAGGGGCTCAGCCTGGGCACGGCCCCAGCAGGAGCAGCCCTGGGCACACTGGCACAGGAGGATGAGCCAAGGTGAGGAGCACGGCCCCAGCGTGGCACCAAGAGGCGCTGGCACAGGAGGATGAGCCCAGGTGAGTGCTCTGACCTGGGCAGCTTTGGGGAAGGTTGCGGGATCAGGCAGGAAGGAAGGAAGGAATGCCCCGATGCACGTGACCTGAGGAAGTTGTGCCGGGCTCTGGCTGAGGGGAACGCGCTGTGCCGGTTCTGGTGCTGGCCCTGCTGGGGCCCCTTTGGGCTGGCAGCGGGCTGCAGCAGGGCCGGGGTCACGGCTGTGCCTCCGCACTGTGCTTGGCCGTTCCTTGGGAAGAACGTGGTTGTGCTTTGGTTTCTGGTTGTGTGGCCTGTCCTGTCCTGGCGTGGTTTGGGGCTGCACTGGCAGTGCTCCTGGACAGGGCCCTGGCTGCCGGGGGGCTGGGACAGGAACTGGGGCTGGGATTCAGCCGTGCCTGACGATGGTGGGAGCCGTCACTGCGAAGGGAGCTGGGAGAAGGGGCCGCACCAGAGCTGCCCGAGGGTGGCTTCTCCTCACACCATCGGCAGCCACCCAGGGCTGCTGCTGCTGCTTTGGCTTCTGGTCCCAGACGGGCTGGGGACGATCCTGCCCCGCTCCCCCTCCCGGGGGGCTTCTGGTTGTTCTGGGCCCTTGGTGGCCGGTGTCATTTGCTCCTTAGTGCCGGCCTTGGCTCGGCGTTGTTTGAGGGACGTGCCCTGTGGCGTGTTCAGGCTGGGATCAGGGTCGTGCTGTGCCTGGCCCAGTGGTGTTTGTCAGGATGGGCAGCACAGTCTGTGGCTCCCCAGTCCCGCTCTGGGGCAGGGTGAGGGTGGCTGGGGGAAGGTGCTGGGCCGGGCCAGGCTCAGCCCCAGTGTTGTTTGGTGGCTGGTTCCCACAGTGCCCCTCACTGAGCAGAGGGCTTGCAGCAATCTGTGCCTCCTCCTCTGCTCCTCTGGGCAGAAACGTGCATTTTTGGGGCTGAGCCCCGAGCTCTCCCGTTGAGATTTCTGCCTCCCTGTCCTCGGTGCACGGTCTGTGCCCAAAGCAGGGGCAGCAGGGAGGGAAGGGCTGCCCCTGCCTGGGAGGGGGGACAGGCATCTCGTGTGGGGCTGTGCTGTGCACCCCGGCGATGCTGACTGACCCCCTTTGCGCAGAGACAGAGGAGACGCTGCTGCACCACGTCCCTGCAGAGCCCCGCCTCCCTCCTGCTCTCAGGGCTGGGACTGGGAGCCACCTCCGTGCAGACAGAGAGCGGCCCCTGGTCTGGCTTCACTCCCCGAGGGAAGAGGCTGCTCAGAGCTCCTGGTTAGGGACATCCACGCCTGCGCCTGGCTGGCAATCCGGGGTGCACCAGTTCCAGATCCAGCCACGAGAGGTTCCTGCTGCAGCTGCAGGTGAGCTCAGCTCTCCCTCAGGGACGCCTGTGCCTGTGACAGCTCCAGCTGATGGACACCGGACAAGAGCTGTTCCTGGTGCTCACAGCTCCTGCTGATGGACCCCTGCTGACTTATTGCTCAGGATATCTGAGGGCCCAGGTGATGTCTGTTCCTTCTGCTTGTTTCACTTGCAGGTGTTACCCAGTCCAGCTTGCTGAACCCCCAGCTCTGGCTGTGGCGTGTTCTTCATTCCAGCTCTGGAACTGAGATGCTGCAGTTGATGGCTGCTCCAGTTCCTTCCAGCTCTGCCTTAATAACTGCTGCTTTTTGTTACAAGCCACTTTAAAGCTCCAGCTAATTGCGGTTATCTGGGCTTTTGGCCAAGTTGTACATGACTCACTGTCATCAATTACATATAGCTATTGACTTTGTTATAACTATTAACTATTTATTGTCATAAAGTTATTGTTTAAATAGAAATAGAAGTCATAACTGTTGGTTGTGCACAATAAACAGTTGGACGTGGAAAAGGGGCTGAAAAGTGCTTTTCTTTCCTGAGCCTGTCTCAGACCCCTGAAACAGCCTGGGCCGTGCTGGTGTCCTTATGTTTGGGGACCAAGGCGACCGGACCCCTCCTCCAGAGAGGGTCCTCATCCCCAGCCCTCCCCCCAAAGGCCCTCCCCAGCCTCTGCTCTGGGGGCTGAAAGCAGCCAGCTGAGCTGCTGTTTCCAGGTTTCTGGGAAGTGCCCCTTGGTCATTTTTCTGAGTCCCAGAAACACTGGACTAGACCTGCATCCCCCCTCCCCCCGGGACCCCCTCCTAGTGAGGGGGCCCCTGTAACTCGGACCCCCCACTCCAGGACCCCCGCAGTGTGATTGACGTTGGGAAAGCCGGAGCCCCGGCACTGCAATGGGGGGACCCCAGCGAGGGCGGGGGCGCCGGGCTCCGGCCCTCAGGGCTTTATTATTGCCCAGCACCCCGAACCCCGCGGCTGCGAGGGAAGGAGAACGAGAATAGGGGAGCAGAGGGGTAGGTCAGGGCAGGTGGGGAGAGGTCGGGGTGTGCAGGGCAGCAGGGGACGGGGCTGGGGGGAAGGCAGGGTGGAGGAAGGAGCAGGACTGAGGGCAGGTGGGGGGGGGGGGGGGCGGGGGAAAGCGGAGCAGGGAAAAGGGGCAGGGGGGAGCCCAGAAGGGGAGGGAAGGAAGAGGGAGAGAATAGAGCAGTAGGGTAGGGTAAGGTTGGGGTGCGGTAATAGAGAGGTAGAGAGGGGGCGGCGGGGGACGGCCGTAGGGGGGGAAGGAGGGGGGGTATTTGGGGAGGAGGGTGTAGGGGGTGGGGGAGGAAGGGAGGGTTGAAGGGAGAGGTATAGAGAAAAAGAAACACAAAAGAAAAGAAACGCAGAACAAAAACATAGAGAAAAAGAGCTATAAGGCCCCGGCCGGCAGCATCCCCAACACCCCCCCCCCCCCCCCCCCCCCCCCCCGAACGCCGAGGAGCAACCAGCTCTGCCGCGCCCTCCCCGTGCCTTAAATCCCCAAGGCCCCGCCCCGCGCAGCCGCACTGGGCTCCCTCACACCTGTGCCGGCCCGGCCCCGGGGCCCCGCCTCCCCCCGCCCATAAATCCCGGCGGATCCGCGCCTGTCCCGCTCTCTGCGGGGGATGCGCAGCTCGGGATGCAGTGGGAGCGGCGGTCGGAGCGCTGTGCGGAGATCCGGATCGGGGGCTGCTGCTGCGCGGGGTCCAAAGCGCTCAGGTGGCACCCGGGGATTTGGGTCCTGATCCTGCCGGTATTTCCTGCGGGAGCTGGGCCGAGCCACTTCTTCCTCGGCGGGCAGGGTGCGGGTGCTGGGGCTGGAGGATCAAGGTGGGATTGGGGCTGGGATCGGGACCGGCATCGCCGCGTTCGGAAAGAATCACTCCGGGACAGGCGCTGCCGCTCCGGCTGCAGCCGGCGCAGAGCTGGGTCCCGCCGGGGCTCCGGCTCCGGCTGCGGCAACAGGGAGCCCGTGCTGTGCTACTGCCATGCCCGCCAGGAGGACGACGCTTCCTGGGAGCAGCCTCTGGATCGCGGCTGGAAGCGGGAAGGACACGGACACCGCCCGTACCGGCCCCGGGACCCCATCGGTATCGCCGCCCGCCCCGCGGGGCGCCCCCTGGCGGACGCGGCGCCGCCCCGCAGCGCCCCCGGCCCGGTAACCCCGGGGGGACACCGAGCCCCCCCGGCCCGGTAACCCCACGAGCACCGCGCTCCCCTACGAGCCCCAGCGCCCGCAGCCCCTTCTCCGTGTCCGCACCCCCGGGGCTGCAGCGCCCCGGCCGGAGCAGCCGCTCTGGGACGGCCGCTGGGGCCGAGGCGTTGCTGCTCCCGCTCCCATTGTGCCTGGTGTGGGACTGGAGCCCCAGGGAAACACGAGGGAAAAAACCCCAGTGTTAAAAAACCAGTGACAACTGTTTGTTCTTTATTTCCAGAGCCTGGAGGATCATGGAGTCAAATGCTGAGAAGTGACCGGCCCAGCTGCACACTGAACACAGAATTTTGGTGTTCTCAGTACCCTGCTCCAAACACCTGAGCCAATCCCAGGGTTGTTCCAAAGGTCCTGCATGGGATGGGAATGACTGCTGCCAGTAAGAGACCTCCTCTACAAATGCAGCTCCTTCCCTTCTGCTAATGCTGCTTTACACACCAGCCCCTGCAATGGCTGTAGGGCAGAACTGGCTGGCACTCAACATGTCAGCACCAAACTCTTCCCCATAACCCCGATTCTTCTGCCCTTTCCAGGATTTACCCAGCAGCTGTAAATGTGCTCACGCAATGTCCCTTTGTTTCCCCAGGAAGAAGCGAACAAGACAAGTCCTGAGGGTTACCCTGCTCCGTGGGGAAGTTCCTCTGGAGAGTGGCAGGGGCCGTTTCCTGCAGGTGAGCGCTGCCAGGCCAAAGCGACGGTGGCTGCTGAGGCCGGGGCTGTTTCTGGGCCCAGAGGCCTCGGTGTCTCCTGCTCGCTGCCAGCCGTGCTCCCTCGTGTTCCCTCGGGGTGTCCCAGCTGGCCGGGAGCGCAGGGCAGGAGGAGCAGAAGCTCCTGAAGGCAGCAGCCCCTCGTGTCTGTGGGAGCTGCAGGAGGAGCTGTGCCTGCACCGTGGCTCCTGGGCCAGGGGCTGCTCTGAGCAGGCCCGTGGAAATGCTCCAGCCCACACAGAGCACCAAGAGCCCAGGAGGAGCCCAAGGAGCAGCTGGCATTACCTGGGAATGGAGGCACGGCCCCTTTGCACAGGGGCTCACGCAGCAATTCCCGGTTCAGAGCTCCCACACAGCTGCCAGCCATGTCCCAGCCACCCCAAATCCCTTCCCTCCTGCCCAGCCTGAGGCCACCATCCATCAGCAGCATTGAAGCCAAGGCAATCTTCCCCCACAGGTATTAAATCCCAGGCAGTAGCCCTCAGAGATACCTGAAAATCAGTGGGATGGAGTTTGGAGTTTTTCAGGGATCCAGCTGCAAGTGCACAAGTGGTGGAAAGCTTTCACAGGTAGGTCCCACTGGAGGTGTGCTGAAGACAGGGATGTGCATCCCTTTCCTGAGAGAAAGGAATTTGGAGAGGCCACTGCTGAGGCTCTGAAAGGAGCTGAGCTCCTGCAGGGAGAGATGTCCCCCCCTGGGCACAGGGGCTGCCCCAGCACAGGCTGGGAGCACATCTGGCCACTGCCTTCTCCTGCTTTAGACACCAACTGGATGTTCTCCATCCTGGAGCTCAGGGGGGTGAAATCAGCTCAGTTCCAGGCAGCTCTGTCCAGTGACCCCAGGGACACCATTGGGGTGAGGGTTATAAATGCCAGTTCTATGGAATGTAACCCTGTCCTTGTCCCTGTGCTGCTGAGCTTCCTTGGAAGCTCTGCTGGCTCCTGGCACAGCTGCTGTCCAAGGCAGCAGCTCTGCATGGGAATGCCCACACTCCATGGGGCACTGGGAGGTTACTGCAGTGGCAATGGAGCAGGGAATCTGGGGCTCTGGGTGTAATTCATCACAACTAGCACAGCTGACAGGGAACCCCAAATCTGGGCCCCACACAGAGAACAATCTTAGTCCTGCCCTGTCAGCTCAAACCCCTGGGCTGGGAAGTTTTGGGAATTAAATGTATGGAATTATACAAATCACAGCAAGTGGCATTACCCAGAGGGACAATCCAGGTCCCAGACAATTCCTCCACCATCCACTATGGGGGAAAACACCCTGTGCCTGCCAGGAGCTCTGACTCTGCTTTTCCTACCAGCTCCTGAGCAGTGTCAGGGCCACCATGAGAGTTTGAAAATCCAAATAGACCCCATATCCCACACAGTGATATAAATAAATAAATAATCCAAATAAAGAAATGCATTCTTGTCATCAAAGCTCAAAACTGTGTCAGGAGTTCTGACAACAAGTTAATGGGATTCCCAGCAATCTCATCAATGCTCTTGGTTTCATGTTTATGTATTTTTAATCCCTCAGTGGGCAGCCTGTACAACTTATCCTGGGATTTAGAGGTTGAGCAGGGCTGGCTTTGGCTTGACCTTCACCTCTGGCCCCAGCCTGTGCAAACACACCTCGTGCCAGGGTGGGTGAGCTCCTCACCTCAGCTTTTCCCTCCTAAACATCCCCTACTTATTTCCCTGTAGATTAACTCAGACTTTGCCCCAAACCATCCACTCCTCACCTCCATGTGGCCTCCAAGTGTCCATTCTGCTCCTCACAGGTGCCCTGGTGACACCACGTTGGTCCCTCTGCCCTTCTCCAGCCCGAGGCTGCTCCTCTGCTCGCTCTCTCCAGCCTCATCCCACAGGGATCCTCTTGTCCCTTCCCTGCTGGCTGCTGCCAAGGAAGGAGCACACAGTGAGTCCCAGGGCTGCCCCCTCAGCCCGGGAGAGTCCTGGCTGTGGGCCCTCGGATTTCCCAGGGGAATTGTCTGCTGGGCTCCCTTCAGTGACCTCAGCAATTCCCTCACAAATGCCACCTCACTGCCCCTGACATCCCCTCACATTGCATTTTCCTACACAAACAGTTCTTGTATCCCCTCTAGACTACACCAGGTTTTCAGCTACATGAATGGCATCATCTGTGCCCACTGCTCGTTATTCACCCAACCAAAATCAAGAGCAAATGTTGGTTGGGCTTTAAGAACTTGAAATAAATTTAAATCAAAATAAATCACCTTTTTCTTCTGGGTTTTTTCCCTTTGGATGCTGGACTTCCCTCTGAGGATGTGTGCTGAGCTCTGGGTGGAGGGGCCTGTCAGGCTGAATGGCTGAGTTTGTGTTCTTTCACTGGGCATCAGAAATTGCCCCAATCCCTTTCCCAGGCTGTTCCCAGGCTGTGCTCAGGCTGTGGCAGCACAGGCAGACGCAGCTCTCAGCACTCCCTGCTCCAAACACAACTCTGGCCTCCACTGCAATCTGTCTCTGCTGGGAGGTTTTCTCCTAGAGAAATCAAAGAATTGCTCATGGCAATTGGGAGAATGAATTTCCACAAGGGAAGTAAGGAATAAAATCCTGCTCTAGGAGCCCCTGGGATCTGCAGGGCTGCTCAGGGAAGGGGACATTCACTCCCTGCAGTGCCCCCAGCCCACCTGCAGCCCCAGCACAGGCTGCCAGCTGGGCTCTGCCAGCCCCTCTCTGTCACCCTCCCTGTGCTGCTCCCTCTCAGTGCCCTGGGCAATCCAGCCCTGAGCCTGAGCAGCCCAAAGCTCTGGCTGGCAGCCCAGGGACAAAGGGACACTGCCAGGGATGAGGCACATTCCCAGCAAACGCTCCCAACAGAGCACAGAGGCACCCCTGGAGCTCCTGGCTGGGGCTGGCAGGAGGGCACAGCCCCAGGGGGTGGCAGTGGCAGTGACAGCAGCAAAGTGCCACGGTCTGGTGGCACAGCAGAGACACCAAGGCAGCAGTGCCCACGGGAGGGGCACAATCAGTGCTGCTCCCTGTGCTGCCCCATCCCAGCAGGAAAGCTCCAGGGGGGATGGAAACTCCTCCCCTTCCCCCAGCCCCAGGTAAGCACTGCTCAGTTTCACACACCCAGCTCTCACCTCCAGCTGCTCTGGGGCTGCTGCCACATCCCTGCCAAGGTGCCAAAGCCACTTGGGACAGGGCTCCCTCTGTGTCCCAGGGGATGGCAGGGACCAGGGTGCTCCAGCAAGGACAGCCTGAAACCAGAGCAGATGTCTCAGGGTCAGCAACGGGCTGGGGACAGGAGCTCTAAACCCAGATTGCTGAAAACAGCCCCAAAATGTTCTATGATCACACCTTTAAAATGGCTCCAAAGGGCAGCAGCTCCACTGCCAGACCAGCACCTGCACCATTCCCTGTGCCAGCCCTGGCTCACTGAAAAACAAAACAAATCAGCCATCACCCAGGCCTTGTTTGCAGAATTCCTGCTCCAAACCCTCACCTTTCCTGCCCAGCACTGAGGGAAATCTGACACAGCATTATAAGTAACCTTTGCTGAGAGCAGCCATCACCCCAGTCCCCCAGCCTTGGCAAGATTTGCAGTGAATGGACCTAAGTTCTAATCCTGAACCTAAATTCCTGTCAGTTTTTGTTAGAAAGATACTGGACAGTAAATCCTGCAACAGAATTGAAAAATTGCACAAGGAATAACAAGGCCCAGAGCAAACCCAACCACCCCCATCACTGCTGCACCCCAGTTTTGGGAGAAACGCTGATATCATTTCTAAATACTCCCCTTCCCTCCCACTCAGTCTCCAGCCCAAAGCCCACTTCTCACAGACACAAACTGAGCAAGGCTGAGGCATTGTTCCCAGCAGCAGATGCAATTGCTGAACTCCCTTTTCCCTGGACTGCTCTTCTAAGCACTTGCAGGAAACTCACCTGAGCCCAGAGACTGCTCTGCTTTCCCAGAGGGAAACAGAGCCCGATGGGCCCCAGCTCTGGCACCACATTGCCCTTGTCCCTGCTGACCTGGGAGGCCACAGGTGAGCCCAGTCCCTCAGAGCCCATCCCTGGCACCAGGAGAGCTGGAGCTGTTCCCAGATGCCAGTGCCCTGCAGGGCTGTGCTGACAGAGCACAGGCTGAGCACTGTGCCAGCCCCATCCCTCATTCTCCTCCCGCTGCTCCCAAACCCTCCCAGCCCTGCCCCTGCGTCCGTGCCAGGGCCAGGCTCTGCCCCAGCCCCAGCAGGGGCTGTCACCCAGCCCTGCCCCAGCCCCAGCCCTGGCAGAGCTGGGAATGCACCGAGAGCTCCTGACCCCAGAGCAGCCCTGGGGGCACAGGCAGTGCCCAAGCTGCCCCTCGGGGCACGGCCAACACCACAGCTCCCTCAGCCCCAGGAACTCTGGCATTTGTCCCTTCACCTCTGCCCTTGTCCAGCAGACACAGCTGGGGCTGGGCTGTCAGGAATGGCATTCCCAGGGCAGACAGTCCCAGCAGAGAGGAAAAGAGGAGCCCTGTGTCCCTCTGACTTACCCCACAGCGTGGGCAGGCCCAGAGCCCTCCAGCGCAGAGCCCGGTGCTGAGGCCTCTTGCCTTTGGCTGCCCAAACACCAAAGCTTTTGGCAAAGATGGGAGGAGTTTGGTGATTTTTCCTGCCCTGAAAGAGAGGAGAAAAAGAAAATTAAGTCCACTGTGGAAGTCAAAGGATCCCAGCTCTCATACTTCTGCCCTGATTGCTCCCTATGGGGTTTTATCCATGAGAGGTGACACCAATTCAAACATCAACGTGTCCTTTGCCAGCATTTTTATTCCTGACTATTTCAGACAATAACAGGATGCTCATTTTCCATATTGCATTCTCTGCCTAATTTGAACAGAACCATTTTTATCCCAGACCCCACGTGTCAGCCATTCCATCCTTTACCACTGGACTTGGCACAAAGGCAGGGACACCCAGGAAGCTGCATCACAAGAAATCCCAGAGAGAATCCCCTCCAAACCTCACAGACAAAGGTTTTTGCGTTTGGGACACAAGAAAGGCCTTTGGCCATTTGCATCCATGTGCAAAGCCCACACTGAGCACTTGGCTTTAAAGATGTTGCACTTGAAGTTACAGACATAGAACTGCTCTGGGATTTGGCATTTCCTGCACCCACACAAACACATTAAAGGAATGAAGTGCAGAGCCCTGAAGTTTGGTTATTCCAATGCTGTTTTGGTAGTGCCACTTGACACACCAAAATCCACAGCAACACTTCAAAAAATGAAAAGCAACTTTCACCCCCACATCCCCCTTCCTTTAGATTTTGCAGGTTTGGGGTCCTCTTAAGAACAGGTTAAAGGAAAGAAGAAGAAAAGCCCAGGACCTGCTACCAGCCAGTGCACCAAGCACCTGTTTCCCACAGATTCCCCTCACAGCTGATGGCTTTTCTAGGAAAGCTTCAGTTCCCCTATCACAATCACCTGGCAGCACTCAGTGCCAGCCCCAAAGGGCAGTGCCCATCTCTGAGCTGTGCCAGGGAGCTCAGTCCCTCTCTGTGGGACAGAACCTGCTCTGGGCCCCAGAGCTGACTCCAATCCCTGCTGGCTGAACTGTCCGGCTGTAGGATCCAGCTGGGGGCTGCAGGGCAGAGTGTGTGACCCTGTGTGACAGCCAGGCTCCAAAGGCAGCCCCTGGTGCCCCAGCACTGCTGCTGGCAGCGCTGGCAGCCCTGGCACGGATGGGATGGAGCCTCCCCACAGCTCTGTGCCCTGGCACCGAGGGTGGCACAGCACAGAGGCTGCTGGAAGTGAAACCAACGCTGCATTTCCACGGGCACTGATGGCACTGAGAGCCCAGCCCAGAGCTGCTCCTGCCCAGCACAGCAGCCCCAAGTGCTGCTGCGGGCCCGGGCTCTGAGGGAGCCCTGCAGCTGCGACAGCAACGCAGCAACAGCAATTCCCAGGCACAGAGAGATCCATCCCCAGCTGCTCCAACAACTGAACCTCTGTGGCTCAGCCCCAGGGCTGTCCCTGCTCCAGGCAGGAGGAGCCACACAGCCCCGAGCCCGGGGCACACCCTGCCCTGCCCCAGGAAACAAGGGGCTCACGAACCTTTGGGGACACTGCTGTCCCCAGAGGGGTTTGACAAAACATCCAGCAGTGTGGATCTGTAATAAAGACAGCTTGTACCTATCCTTGCAACAGACTCACCTATGTTATTTCCTCAAAGTCTCTGTTTTAATGTATTTTGCTATTCCAGGTGTTTAAACGAGATTGACCATGAGCTCTGCACCCTTGCCACGCTCCCAGCCCTAAGGAAGAGCTGGACATCCTCACACCCATCCAGTCTGAGGGAGCTGCTGCAGCATTAAAACATTTAAAAGCCACCCCTGCCCCGAGGGTGTCCAGCCCTGGGAGGTGCCCGGGTGCCAGCCCAGCACTGGATATGGGACACCAGGAGAGCAGCAGCAACAGCCACTGCAGCCTCGGCACTCTCAGCACTCCGGCTGCACCGTCCTCACTGCCCAGCCACTCCCAGCTCTGTTCCCAGGACTCCCAGCAGGAACCTGAGGGCCCTTTCCAGATGCAATCCCCAAAGAACCACTGCTCTCCTCTCTGCCCACCCTCCTGCCCCAGCTCTGACCCCTTTGATCTCCACCACCCACACAGGACACAGAGGAGGCTCTCGGTGCCAGCTGAGACCCAAATCGTTCCAGTGCCTCAGGAAATAAATACAAACAAACTCGTCCCCTCTAGGGTAACAAAATGTCTCGGTGCCCAGCTCCTGTTTCCTAAGGCAAAACACACGGAGCAGGGGAAAGTGGCAAGTCCCAAACCCAACAAAACCTGGTTTGCCATCGGTTTCCATCAGGACTGCTCAGGGTTCCCAGTGCCCCTCAGCTGCAGCCACAGGAGCAGCTTCTCTCTGGGACCCAGGGGTGGGCACAGGGACACCCATCCCGCTGCTTCCCGGGACACAGAGCCCAGCCCAGCCCAGAATGAAACACAACAAATGCAGTTATTGTCTCTGCCATTCGTGTATTAGCTCTGGCACATGTTATTGACCACAGAACTCCTGAGAGAGCACAATCTGTAACTACTGCTCCTGATAAAGTATCATCTGTCAGTTCGTGTGTGCACTGCAGAGCTTTTGTAAATAGCAGTGTAAGAGATACTATTTTAGACTGTAGCATAATAGAGACTCTGAAATGTTAAAATGCTTTTACATGTAAGGAACTCAGAAAATGGTGTAAGATAATTAGGTGATTTCCCACATTTGGGGACAATCTTATCTGAAACACAAGATAACAGAAACAGAAAACAGAACACCGAAAAAAAAGGAAAAATATTATTGACCCTCGTTATCAAATAAGGAGGGAGTGAAAATAAAACAGGATGGCACCACAGGAAGAAATAAAGTATATTGGTTTAATCCACAAGATGGCATGAAGGTTAAAACCAAGCAAAAGAACACCTAAACTCCAAGGACTGTTTGAACATGTATAAACTCTAATGAACATGCACACAGCACTGCAATGGAACAGAATCTAGAGAACACGGTTTAAGGTGACCGGGTGCTCCTGGCAAACAGGAGCACCAGCGCTGCCTTTTATCCCTTAACAAACGTGTAAAAATTCTAAAGAGTGAACTTTGTTTCTCACACAATAAAGCGCTGCCCCCGCAGCCGGGACGAGCCCCAGCTTTATTCCACGGAACGCGATCCCAGAGAGCCGCAGGGCCCGGGACAGCCCCGTCCCACCCACAGCGGGTCCCCCGCAGCAGCAGCGCCCAAAGCAGCCCCGTCCCGCTGTGGGCGCCCCGGCCCCGGTGCCCCCGGCCCCGCTCCCTCCGCTCCGGCCGCTCACCTGAGGGCACCGCCCGCCGCCTCCCGGCGCCGCTGCCGAGCCAAGGCCATTGGCCCCGCTCCTGGCTCCGAGGCCGCGTTCTGCGCTGCAGGGCGCGCTCCGGGGGACGCGGGCCCGGGCAGGGACACGGTGACCCGGGCTGAGGCGGCTGTGCCAGCGTTCTGTCCCCTCACGGGGCTCAGGCCGGGGAGCGGGGCCCGGACACCGGCCGCCATTGCACCGCGGAGCAGAGTCAGGGACGGCCGAAGAGCCGAGTGCGGCCGAGCGGAGCCGACAACAGCCGAGTGTGGCCGAGAACAGCCGAGCGTACCCGAAGGGCCGACCCTGGCCGCGATTTGTCGATCCCAGTTTAGCTGAGGTGAACGGAACGGAACGGGACGGAACCGCGGTCAGCCGAACCGAACTAGATAAGCGGAACCGAACTAGATAAGCCGAACCACGAGATCAGCCCAACCACGGTGAACAATACGAGGTCGGTCGAACCGAATTGAGCTGAATGCAGCGAGCGGCTCCGAGTTCAGCCGAACCGAGCCGAGCTCGGCCGAACCCGGCCTGCTGCTCTCGTGCCCATTAATTAGCGCGAGTGCAGCCCCAGCCTAATGAGCACTGAACGTGTCACAGACACACCAGCCACCCTCCTGACACTGATGCTCCCAGGGATTTTCCTTTTTCCAGGGTCCAGAACTCACCCAAAGGAGTGAGAAAATGCTGTCGGCATAAGGAGCTGCACAGTTCTTGGGAAGGTCCTCGCTGGACAAGTGGCACAAAGGGCACAGGGAGCATTTAAAGCAAACCAAGTGACAAAAAGCCACCTTTAGGTCAGAGAGAGGCTGAATGCCCATAAGGAAATCCACTGAAACAATAAGCTAAGTGATGGAAATTCAGAGTTTGGCTGTGGCCACCACCTTCTGGTAGGAAATGTTATCAGATTATCTGAAATAGTCACAGAACAAGACAAAGAGAGGCATTTTAAATCCTAAGCTTATGAAGTGCAAATGAGATCAAATGCACAAATTCAGGTAAGATATGGACTGTAATCACTGTTTCTGTAGTCAATGACTTCGTGTTCGAACCTGAGTGACCTCCCTCTCCTCTGTCACCTGTGTGTCCTTGCTGTGTTTCCTTGAGTGTCCCAGAATACCCTGGAAGAGATTCTTCCCCTGCTCCTGCCTGTATTTGTCAGAAATGGTTCATTTAGACAGCACAGCACTCACAAAGAACCAGCCCCGCAGGAGTCACAGCACCATTGCCCTCACCCTGAAATCCTGGCCAACAGCACCAGGACTGTGCCCTATCCCTGGTGAGTACTTGGGAAGCACTGGTCAGTGCAGGCTGGGAGCAGGTGTGGGGAGGGGAAACAAGTCCTCAGGGCCACAGAGCAGGAACTACTTTACTGTCAACTCCAAGAAACAGAAGGCTTTGATCTCATTCATAGAAATTCAATCATCAATGCACAGAGACAATTATTTTTTCCTCTTTCACAATCAGCATAGTTTGCATGCCCTGGAAATCTATGAACAAGTCACAGCTTGGTAATAATGTTTCACCTTTTGAGTGAAAGGGTAACAATAATTTCTTTAGAGCAGGCAGGGAATGTGATGATCCTGGAGTCTTTACAGACTTCGTTAAACTTCTGCTCCTTGCATGATTAATAACTAAGTAATTTTAGGTTAATAAGTAATTGGAAGTTGCAGTTGAGCTACTTCATGACTTGGCCTCCAACCATCAACAAACACACTGCTGAAGATAGAAGAGAACCTCTAACGGGAAAAACAGAGATTCCTGTTCTATTTTTGTAGCAGACAATCACAATAAGCAGGCTGCCATGGCAGCATCACACACACGTGCTGCACTTCAGTGGAAGGACTTTGATAAACACAAAGTATTCCTTTGTTTCACAGTGAGAAGGAAAATCCCTAATCCTGTTTGCAAACACCTCTTTCTAGACAATTCTTTAGCTTCAAGCACAGAAAATTCTTCCAGGATTTTCTGAGCTAGCTACTCTAATGCAAAAGGAGAGCCTCATCTGAAAAGACATGAATTTAACTCAAAAAACAAGTGATCAATCCTTTCATTCTCATTACAAATGCTGCCAGAGGGGTGGCATGATCATCGGAACAAATCAAGGAATTAAAACCTGAATTTAGGCTACAGAGGGCCTCCCACTCCTTAGCAAGATTATTTTCTGTCATCAGAACCAAGTGCCAACAGCAGTACTTGTGTGCCAGGACATGTTCTGGAGCCACGACTGATAAGCACAGAAAGCAGAAACTGGGTAACAGATGCTAGCTCAGACACTGAAATATATCACAGAAATGAAAATCACACAAAGGCTTGTGCTCTGCCATAGGCCATAATCCCTCACACACACCTTTTGGTGGATTTGAGGGCCATGAGCTTTTAAGGAACAGAAAAGAAGCAGAGCTGAAGTTGGCAGCAGCACGCGCACTAAAGTTTATGTTTTCAAATACCACATCAAGAGCTGGAGCTTACCAAACACTGACCTTTGCCTGCATGGAGAGCAGCTTGCAGGTGTCACTGTTATTATCCTCATGAGGCACTGCTGGATGGGCAGGTCTGGCCTAAGCATCTGCAGCACCTTTAGTCATGCCTCGTGGCTGTCACTGCCTACCCACACCCATGAAGTCACCCATTTAATAGCACAGCACTTCATAGAGGTACACCCAGATTCTTACTGCCTGGAGCCACAAAATATCCTAGAGGGCAGACCCAGAGGGGACTACCCTGTCCCAAAGAGCTACAGCAATACAGCTTGTCACTCCCACCAGAGCTCAGGCAGGAGTAAAATCACCACATCACACCCAGCCACCTTGCACAGCCCTTAAAAACTGTGACTTAGCCACAATCAAGGTTTGCAGATGTGCATTTTTCTTAAGTCCATAAAACATAATTTGTCCATTTTCTTTCTCTGTAGGTCATGCTATATATATATATGGATTTTTCTGTCTTCAAAATACAAAACCCTTGGTCTCCCTTACTTTTGACAGGTGCTATCAAGACGCTCCCAATCCCCACACAACAACCACCCACCAATGCATTACCAGATCCTTTTATGCTCAGTCACTCCTCTGATCAGTTGAGGCCATGTGACTGTATCCCCTGACTCCCTTTTCCCATTTACAATGACTTTTCTTCAATTTTTCCTTCAGGCAGGTGAGTCATGATGTGGACTGTCTCCTGCTTTCTATTTCTTTTAAAAATGTCTGTCCGGAACTCCCCTCAATTGAGCAGTCACTTCCTAGAGTTCTGGGGAAGATTCAGATCTTAATCCTGAACTGAAATTGTTACCATCATTCCTGGAAGGGCAGGTGGGACAGCTGGACCTGCTACAGCTGGGACATCCTTCCAAAATAGCCTGTCATTTTTCCTGATACTTCCATTCAGATGAGGTATAAATTTGCATTTTCTATGTGAAAGGTGTTACACATCAAAGCTTCTCCCGTACAGACAAGAGGACAGTTTGTCCCTGCAGCAAAACACGCTGAAATAAGCATCAGTAATCCTTAAATTTGTACCAATTAGTGCAATAAAAGGGTGAGAAACAGCTGTCTCTTGTTGTAGCTCTGCCTGAGCAGCAGGGGATCAGAGGCTGGTGGGCACTGGGCAATGGCAGCAGTGGCAGTGTGCCTGAGCAGCCCACGCTCCTGCCCTCACGGCCCCTGTGCTCTGCAGACATTCTTCACGTTTCTGCAGGGCACACAGCTCTGCACTGTGTGCTGCTGAGCACAAATCTCCCCACTGACACCTCAGACTGCTGGGAAGCTGTGAAACCAGCCACATCTGACACCTAAAAATGTCCCTGCAGTGAATATTGGCAAGCAACAGCCCTGAAGCATTAGAAAAAATATTCACGGCGAGAACTGTGTAATATGTGTGCGTTGGAGATCCATACAGACAGTAGAGCAGATGGCCCAGAAGCATCCATGGCACTTATTTATTAATTTGGTCTTGAAACCATGAGCCCAGAGAGCACTGGGGAGGAGAAAGTGCAAAGCAGAACAGATCAGGCCGACTCACTGAGGTTCTGCCCTGAGCTGGCTGTCTTGAGGGGACCACTGTGACTCCTCTCTGAGCAAGTTCATGCTCTGACACAGACACTCCTTGACTCAGCTCAGTCTTCTCACTGGAAATCACCCTGCAGACACTGCAGTTGCCTGCTCTGTGTCACTCCTGGCCTTCCATAATGCTGCTTTTCCCTTGCAGGATCAAATAACCCCTTGGAGCATTGTGCTGTTGAGCACATTTCACCAAGAATAAATTCATTTATATACTTACTACATCAAATTCTTATCCTTCTCCTAAGTGTCTGATTGTATGGATCACATTTTTCTTCTCATTCAGATACTCAAGGCCCAAATTCTTAGGGTCCTAGAGCTCATGGTGGCATTTATATGTCCCCTCCAGGGCAGAGGCGGTGGCATTTCAGCAGCATTGGAGGCAACAATAGAGTCTCTGATTTGAAGGGCCAAACCCTCTTTCATGCTTGGCTCACACATTTACCAAGCTATGCTAGGCTTAATGGGAATTAAGGGGGCTAAACTTTCATTTGATTGTCGAGGACATCTGAATGTCTTTCTGGCATAGAGGGGCTTTGGAAAAACGAATCCAGATGAGAGGGCCATGGAACGTGATGGAGTATCAAACCACTATCTGATTTGGACTATGAGCTCTGCCTGTGCCTGTGTAAGGCAATATAAACAAGTCAATAGCTGTTTGGGAGATGCTGAAATTCTGGAAAGATTCTTCCCTGTGCAGTTTTTTGGAGGGTGTGTCTTCTAATTTGGAATTTGATCTGTCTGAAACTGTCATTCTCAGCCCCATGGGCAAAACCTTGATCCTAGCCAGTACACATGTCCTTACAAGTGAAGAATCTGAATGCACTGGGAATGCAGAGTCAGCCTCTGAGTTGATGCTGCCCTAGCTTTTAAGAAGCACGCAGGAAACCGTAGGATGCTGGCTGACAGAGGCCATCTCCAACAAGAGGATGGTCAGTCAGCTAAAAAGCTGCAGAGTGTCTGTAGGACTGTTACCTGGAAGCTGTGCTCGCCCTGGTCTGTGCACAGCGCACAGGTTCTAACCAGGGCAGGAGCAGACACAGTTTCAGGCATGAAATGTTATGCCTAAGTTGTTGCAGAAACACGAACCGAGCCGAGAATGGCCGACTGTAACAAGTGAAGCAATGAGCTGTGGGTTC